CGTGAATAATGCACCGTTTCAGTCAACTCATTTCTCCAGTTCTTCACAGATCTACAGAGACTTCATTGGGGAGAAACTTGTGTTTCAGAAATCAGCTGTGGACATAAGGTAAAATGTTACGATCTTTATTGTAACTGGATGTCCGACATTATCCATACTTTCCGTGCTTTGCATGCTTCAGATAATGCTGCGATTTCTGCATGGTAACCTAACCGTGTAATGCATTGTACACTGAAAGCCATCATCCATTCTATTGAGAAACAAACATGAACCAAAAGGACATGCGAGCCAAAGGAACCTGAAGGAATATCGAACTGTGTTTAATGCCAATAGGACAGCATTTTAAGCCAAACCGATCTCCTGTGTTTTGTTCCAAAAAAAATTGAATAGGTTGAAAATTGCAATCTGTGATATAATAATTATCACTACTTTTAATTAACAATTCAGATGTTGTGATTTTCACCTTATTGATTTAAAGAGCTGCAGTGAATGCCTATTTCTATCAGTGCATTAAAATAGCATTAATCGAAAAGGATAAGTTCGCAAGGGAGCTAGGTAATTACTTAGTGGACGAAGTATACAGTATTGGGGATATGAGAGTGAGAGAGAGAATAGTGTATGGTATATTTAGAATTTTGCGAACTTTCAGCTGGCTCTTTGAGTGACTCTTTCTGGACTTGTATGTTCTTCTGTAATGATTACATTTCTTAGAACTACATTTTCTATTGATTTATATGTGGTTGATCAGTAGAATGTAAAATAGATGTCTAGATTGCAGCCAGATCAGTACAAGTATCTCAAGAGATTTAGGGAGTGATAATGTTTGGAATCCATAGCACAACTAGGAACTTAAACTTGATACTCTTTGGTTTACCATTAACACCATATACAGTATTGTAATGTTTATCTTTTTAGTGCCTTGTAAACTAATTTTATCTCTGTGAACCAAGAAAGGTACTTTTATTTAACTTATAATAATAACTAATTACAGACCTTAATGCCATTGTGTTTTGTGTAACCAAAACAATTCTGTATTACAAGTACTACCTCTATATTAATTATGTTTGCTTTGCATTGAATGCTCTTTGAAGCTTTGTTAACTTTGTTAAAATGTACCCATTTGTATAGCTATGACCCAGAAAATACAGCCATCTAAGGTCTGCCAATATCTGCCCTTTGAAGTCTTTGAGCCTTGTTGTTAGCTTCCTAATTTTCTGTTACAAGGTTATGGTACCCTTTTCAATGAAACATAGAGAGAGGGCTGAGCAGAGTTCTTGACCTATAGTCACTGCCAATGGCACGTTGTTTGATCTAGTTATTTGAAATGTAGGAACAAAAGAAAACCAAGCAATAAAAAATGGCATTGAGGTGATTTAGCTTATTTCAGGAAAACCCAGAATAGCTTTACATGGAATTAGGTTGATCATTATGCTTTCCTTATATTTATTGTATTGGGATGCTAAGAGTGGGAGTGAAACAGATTTATAATAATTAGCACATTCTATTATTATTCAATCTATTATCAAACATATTTTCCCCAGCCAATTATTTAATTCCATGGACTTAATTTCAGCATCTCGTACTTCTAGGTTATATATTGAGTGGGTCTGATCTACTGTTCCAGGGGTACTCCAATAGTATTATTTTAGTAGAGCATCCAATCACTCTGTCAGAACATTTTATTTCCCACACTAGTCAACCTTGTGATCGTTCTGAAATTGCTAACTTGTGGAGAATTCTGGTTGGTTTATGCTTTGGGCTCACTGCCTGAGGGAATCTTATTAAACTTGGTTGGGTTGTGAACCAAGTTGGATCCCGGCGACAGTAATGGTAGCAAAAAAAAAAAGCTGTTATAACGTTTTAAGTGAAATACCACATTTAGAATAGTCAAGGAGTCCTGTCAACATTTAAAAAAAATTTGATGGTCTGCGTGGATTGGAATGCTGTTCTATTTGTACAGCAGTTACCGTGCTGCTGTCTTTGAAGTGTCTCGTACGATGAGAAATTTGCCTTTGGTACCAGAGCAGTTTTAGAAGCACTTTATACAAGGGTTAGCTGATAAAATGAAGTGATAATTGAAGTGTTAACTTTGTAGTGTATTAAAACCAGCGTCATGGTGCACTTCCAATTTTTAATGTTTTTCCTGTCTACTCAGGACTTGAGTGAAGCTTTACTTCCAGGAAAGCAATTCATTGCCCTGTAATGAATTGGCTCGCAGCTTGTATTGTAGCGGCTTGTGATCCATGTTAAAGAAAAATAAACCTTGAAACTATTTAAAGAGAGTGCCCAATTATAGCTAATGGAGCACATAGAAAAACAAGATAAGTTGCGTGAGCTCAACCGTAAATCTTAACAAAATGCTCCACTTATAGGCTGCAAAATGTAACTTTCCCTGCATATTGCACAGGAGAGACTTCAACATCACCTTATTGGAGGGACACAACTCAATAACTTAAAAATACATAAGGTACCTGTAATAATTTTCAAGCTAGTTTCAATGATCTTTAAATGACGGTTCATGGCCAATCAAAAGTTTAATCTGCTATTTGCTATTGAAGGCTCTCATTTGGTATAAATTCCACTGTATTCTCTGATGATTTTATACCAATTCTCTAGTTTGCTTTGAGCTGCATTTGGAATGAGATTGTCAGCATTCACTTGTCTATTGATAATCCTTGCATTTTTGTGTAATGCCTTTCATTCATGTCAGGAAGACGCTGTCATTTGAACGTTTCACTGTCTGCCGCTGTGTGTGCTGCACTTGTACTGCGTGATTAGTGGTGAATTGTGTGATTTTTCTGACAGGATTTTGCTTCCAGGCTGCACATGTGCAGCATAAGCGCTGAAGGTCTGAAAGACATTAGGATGCTCCCTATTCCCACCCCACTAAAATCTCTGGGACAATCAATGCAATCGTCTCTTTATTTAGGAAAGTCAGATTTTGGGGTTCTGCTAACCTCCAGAATTGGGTGTTGACCAAACCCTCAAATTAGATGTTGTTTCCCTTTAGCTCCTTCGCAGTTGAAAGCGATCAAAAATGTAACCTGGTTTCTTGCTGTACATCAGTACCTACTGGTAACCAGAGGTTTAATGTAAGTGTACCCCTGAGTCACTGTCTGTTCATGTCCCAGATTATTTTAGATTATCTCCCTTCTGGTCCCTTCTACTTGGCCACTGACTCACAGAGGTTAACACAGGTTAACAACAGCAGTTCTTTCAACACTGAAAAGGATGAGTCAGCCTGCCCTCTCATAACCAACTCCCTCGCCTAGGAAAGTGAGTGGGCGAGGGAGTGAGTCATTGGGGGATGGGACAACCAAGGCAGCAAATTATTTAGAACATTCAATAAAATATTTTAAATTGGAGAGTGTGGAGCATGTCTGGTAGGTGTAATCGTGGGTTGCCTTCTGGACATTCGAGGCGTTCATTTTTATTTTTTATTAAAAAAATCTAGCATTTTAGTTACAACTACAGTCGTTCATTCTATGATTTCTATTGATTTTTTTCATTCTTTATACAACTTCAGAAATGTGTGTTGCAATGCCAAAGTGTCTTCTATAAACAGTTATTACAGTGCGCAACATTCCTCTAGGCTGAATAATATAATTTTGACATCACCAAATTGATGCACTCTTTGACCGTGCTTTTGATCACCCTGCTTCCCTCCCGCCCTCCACCCTCCCCAATCCAGACTCGGATCTGAACGCTGACTGTCCAGTGCCTTGGGGCGGCCTCTCGACGTGAAAGACGCTATACAAAAGTAATTTTGTTGTTGTTGCATTGCTTTGGTATGGTATTGAGCTATAAAGACCAGGGATAACCCCTCATTGAGTTTGTGGTTTGTGCTGAGTTATTCAATCTTCAAGAGAACGACAACCAAAGAGAGTAAGAAATTGGCAATGAATACTGTAACACTACTGTATTCATAAAGCAGAGATGTGTGTGTTTTAACTGGTTAGTTTCCAACAGTTACCCCAAAACACTCTGGGGTCTCCAATATTGGCTCTTGCCAACTTGCGCCTAATACTTTCCGGAATCAGGTAAGCAGGATGTGTCCCTCCGGGGAGAGGGGGCACATTCTATCTCTGGGATTTCCTTGTGTGGATGTGATGCACTAAATTCTCAGTTTGGTTTGGATAGTCTGGAGCATGGTGATGGGTTTCCGCATGTGTCAGGACACCCGGCTGACTATAAAAAAAAGTGTTTTGAATGATTTTGTGGTATGCCTTGTTCTCAGGTGTGGCAGCTTGCTTAAAATCGGTTTGGCGTCAAAATTACAATACTTTCATCATCTTGGATTTGGTTAAATGTGGGGAAATCTGGAACTTCATCAACCATATGAGCTGTGTATGATGAGACTGTCAAGCGGACACATGCTCACGCACACACAGGTGTTAGTTCATGGTCTAATGAATTGGGGGCAAAGCCCAAATCCTTTTGATTCTTTTTCACCACTGTGAGCAGATTTGGTTGCACAAGAAGAAATAGTGTGTAAAGCAATTAATGCTAGGCATTGGGTCCTAAGTTACATTTATTATTCTTGACAATTCAATGAAATTGTACATTACTAAAGCTGCCAAGAGATTAGTGAAGTGTTATTGCTTAATAGGTAGTTTATTTAGGCAGTTTAATAACTTAGCAGATTTGTTACGAGGCACACTGTATCACTTACAAAGTGTATTTTTATTAAATTTTCACATGTGAAAGTTTTCAACATTGATTTAAACATTTAGACTAACTTTACTGGCAGGCAGAGTTTAATGGAAGACCTTGATTTAATGGATGAATAGAACCTCTGATAATAGTACTACAGTAGAATTTATTATTTATTACTAATATAAATTGGGAGCAAACAATAATAGACAGATATGTTTTATTTCCTAAGTTGGAAAATAAGTAGTAACCTATCCATCTTAATTTATTGGATAAACAGCACCTGTGTTTGGTTTATCTGCCTTCTGTTCAGTTTGATGGAGTAAATATAATTGCTTTCTTTTCAGTTCTGGTCAAGATGTGCAACGAACCAGTGTTGTTGTTAATCTACCTAACCTTGTGCGACAGAATCCTTCTGACACACTTCGAAGGGTGGTGCCAAAGATTGGAGTAAGTTGCATATTTATACCAATACAGATAATCTGTTTCAATTTCCTAAAATTACCCCAGCATCCAGTGTGATCTTAATCAAGTCTCTGATGTGTCATAATAATGTTTCATGTCTGACCTGATCGCTGAGCTGCTTCAGGTAATAATCCATCCTTATTAACAACTTAATATAACAAGCCCTATAGGATTGGACAGGATTTGTTCATTACGAGTGATATTTACAAAAAAGAAAGCTGATCAAGATCATTTTTATATCCTTTGCAGACTGCAGGAGCAAGTTCTGGTTGCCTCAGGGACAACTTCCTTTAACGTATTATTGTCATGAATGATTTTACCCATGAAAATTTACCCTCCCTGCTGCCCCCTGTAAAACACTTCTCCTAGATTTAGTTGTTGACGTGTTTCTCCATCATCGGGCACTCCAACTGTTCCATTTTGCTTTTTCAACCCAGGAATTTGTTACTTCAGTTACACAATGTACCTTCCCCAAAAACTGCTCAAAAGATTTTCAGTCTGAATAACACTGAAATAAAATGTGCGTTTCAAGAATTCCTAATGTTGCCCCATGAAGCGGTGACCAACAGAAAGTAGTCATTATGTTTTCGTTCCAAACGCAATAAAGCATTGTGCAACTTATTCCTTAAATTTCTTGGCTGGGACATTTGAGACAGACCAAATGAGTCGGAAATAAGCCTAAATGAACGACTCTGTTACAGGAATTTGCCTGATGCTTCCCAAACCGGATTCTCCAACTCCCCAAACGTTGCGATTTCCCAGTGTTGCCACAGCCTTCTTACCGTTAAACTGATGGGAATGAAGAATTCAGAAGGAACCCGAGTGCTGTCTGTCTCAAGAGGCATCCTTAACCTGCTGAAAATCATTTTGTAAATTAATATTTTTTTCCATGTCACAGGTTATGTCTTTATGTTATGTCTTTCCAATTTCCACTAAAATATGAAGCCAACGTCTTTGAGGATTTGGCTGTCTTGGTAAATGGGTTTCATGGGTTTTCTAAATAAGTCACCTGAGCTTATGTAGACCATTGCTTACAATTTGTGGAAAGTAAATGAAAAGTAAGCCAGTTATTTTCAATCGAGTTTTGAATGGAGAATGTCAAAAACATTGGTTCTCATGAAGACTATTTTTGATGTTGTAGGAGGTACTACATGTTGCGGGGGTGGAGATGCAGTTAGCTGCTGCAGTCTCATTTCTTACCATCTTACAAGAAGAGTTGGTTTCCACCGCCGCTTACACCCACTCTTTCCTCCCGATCATATTGGTAAGCCTGGATCACAGGGACGCAGGTCAGTTCATTGCTAATTGATGAGATCAAATGCTGCCTTGTGTTCACTTACTATAAGTTGGCAATATTAAGGTTGTAATTTCAGCTAAACCCATTGTGACCTCGATTTGCAAAGTGCTTGCTTAGCTACCTTTCTTGTTGGAAGGACTGGCCTCATGGGCTGAATGGCCTTTTCTTGTTGAGTTAGTTTCTATTAATTTTCTGTTTATCAGCGCTAAAATAAGTAAGATTACGCCTCCAATTATAACTAATTTAACATGTGAAAACTGCCAAAGTTAGTTAGTTATCTGAATTCATAACGTGTCTGCAGGCGTCTGTTCATTATCCTCTTCAGCCGCTCTTATCTTCTTATTTGGAATGATTCAGTAATTGTATTTATTTATTGCAGTGCTGTGCAATTTGCTTAAAATATTTTAACTTTGATTCCGAGTAAGCTTTGTGTATGTCAGGAACGTGTTTTGTTCAAATCATTCCAGTTAATCTCATTCTTGTAGATGATTTGTTATGAAGGGTAGAAGAATACTGCAGAGACGCTCCATGTACCTGTATTATTGTGCTAAATAAATATATTTTTTAACAATGTCATTTTCTATTAGAATCAGGGAAAGGTTTATCAAATACAGTTCATTGAATAGAAAGCATTTGCCCTGGGGTTTGCATAAGAATATTTTTTTAGAATAAAAATACCAGAAAGATACTTTGAACTCCCACTTCTCCCTACGCTACCCGACTCTCCCTTCCTCTTGAAGGTGTGATACAAGTTTGAAACGTTGCCAATTTTTTGTGCAATTTCTTCCTTTTGTTTTGTGTTTATAATGACACTAAATGCAGTATTGCACTTCAATTTTATTAGGCTGGCAAACTGAATACGACTTTAAAAGGGCTTTGCAGTGTCACTGTTGGTGTTCTTCAAAATCACTGTCAGTGTTTTATTTCTTTGCTGTCAGAGTTTCTCCCTTCAGGGTGTTTAAAACCCCGCCAGGTTTTGTTCATGTGCCAAACCGAGAAGTTGTGTCAGTTTACGGGATTCGGCCGGGAAGCTATTTTTGTGGCATGATTTCAGAAACCTACAGTGTCTACAATATCACGTTTGGTGATTTGTCATTTCTTTTGGCTAGTGGTCAGCAATGCATGGTTGGAGACCCTTTTGACTGTGATCAATACATTGCCAAAGGAAACAATCAGACAGGAGGTAAAGTACAATAAAATTCTAAATGTCATCCGATTGCGTGGGAGAGTGAATGTGTATAATTAAAGGGGCGCAATCTCCATCATTAATACACCACACAGAGAGAAAAATAACATGAAGTGCATCATTGCATCATTTATCTATAATGTGGAGGTGGGTGGGGGGGATGTAGAAAAACAGTAGAACTCCATTATAAGGTGCTAAATAGTGACCAGTAAAATTCCAACCAGCCTTATAACGGTCCGATTGCTGACCAGAGCTTGTGCATCCAAGCCGGCCGGCTTGCTCCAGCAGCTGTGCCAAACATGGTGACCCGATGGCCTGGAAGTTGGACGTTTATCAGCATAGGGGAAGCCAAAATAACCAAATTCTGGGTCGTTAGATGGCTGGCAATGATATTTGCTGCACACAAGCCCACGTTTGCTGCCTACGTCAGACATCCGTGCGCAATTGGCTTCCACGTTTCGCCCACAAAACAAAACACACGGTCACTACACTTTACAGTGTATCCTGTGAAGCACGTTGAGACTTCTCGAAGACGTGATAAGGCACTATATCAAATACAAGGATTATTATTAGTAGTTTTTAGCGCAGCAGTCAACTGGTGCACAGGAAGCCAGACGGCCTGGCTTTCGGGTCCTTTTGCTGAATAAATGTTTGGGTCCACACTGCGATTGCAGTATAAGCGAACCCGTGTTTTGATGAAGAGCATCATAACAGAGTTCCACGTACTTATCAAGAAGGTATTTCTATCAGTAAGCAGTAAGTAAGTTAGTAAGTTATTCAGTAAGTTATTCTTTGCACGCATTGCATTCACTCTCTGTTACAAAATAAATGTATGTGTGAACCAACAAGAATGTTCCTGGTAAAACACATCCAGACACATTTCAGCAGGTTTTCATCACTCACTGTATAATGTACTGAATGATCGCCATTATTTCAACAATCTTGAATTGCCGTATGGAGCAGTTAATAATTTGGGGGGAATAAAATCCATTCGAGTTGTGAATTTACCGAGCTAATATCTTGCTCTGAATTTGTTGGAAGTGCACAAAATTTTGTTGAAAATGGGTTATTTATATTAAGTAAATATACCTCTTAAAAAAAACTGACAGTTGGGGAAGAGCATAAATTATTAAAATGCAATATTGAAAGGTCAGAATTCTGACTCTGCATATTTTAGCGTTGGAATTTAGCGTTGGAGTTTGTTCGATTCCAGGTAAATTATTGATCGGGTGAGCAGAGTACACAGACTCATCTAACTTTTATCCATTGAGGTCAATTGTTTTTTTGGGCGGGTGGGGGGAGGGAGAGTGAGAACGCAAGATGGTATATTCTGTATTTGAATTGTAATTAGAGATCAGAGATGGATTGTTTGACAGAAAATGTTTCTATTGGAGTATATTCAGCAATTGGTTCATACCCTGGAATGTACAATTATAGATGAATTGATAGTATTGAAATGCAGTGGTTGAATGTGAAAAAAACGTTGAGCCTTTCCTTCGAATGATGACGCAGACACCAGTGTATCCATTTGTGCGTGCAATTATGGTGGGTATTTAAAATGCCGGAGTTCATCTTACAAAATACTTTGCTCAAAAATGTTTACACGCAAAGATTAATAATACACCGTAGCCCTCCTCAATGGGCATCAGAGACACAGTTATGGTAATTTCTTGATGCAACCAAAAACCTATGCATATGCTATTTTAGAATAGTCCTCGTTGATTTTTTTTTAAGGACTAGATTTAGGATTAGCACTAATCTTCTAATCTTTTAATCTTTCTATTTTTTTTGTCCCTACATATTCATAGTTCTTACTCATGCTCCTTGGTGTAGTGTGGAACCACATTAAGGAATATAAAGTCACATGGAGCATGGGTAAGATTCTCGTTCATTTTGACTTGTGCTGCACTGCATGCTGTTTAACAAGTGAAACAGCTCTTTAGGACAATTTCTCCTAAATTCAAGAATTTGGGGGATGGGAGGGGGGTGAGGGGGTAAATTCTCATTTCGATCTACATTTCACAAACTTTTCCAAGGCTGTACAATTACAAAGGACCTGGAAGCAGATCTCATACTTTCCACTTTGTGGCTTTATATAAAAAAGAGAGATGTGTTTAATCGGAAACTGCATCGCACTGAGCTGCCTGCGTTGGTAACCTCTTTTGGAATGAATAATTTCCAGAGTAACCTTTTTGTTTTTGTTTAAGATTCTGTCCCCACTGGTTTCAAAGGCTCAATTATCGCAGACCATCCAATCACGTTTAGCGAGCTGCAAGATTCTGGGTAAAGTCGCCAGGAAATTTGAGTCTCACATGTAAGTGAAAGGCTGCTTTGTTGATGCTTCCACACTGAGTGGAAGGATACGTTATTATGTATGTACGTTAAAAAAAGCTACTGTATTTTTTGCTGATTATGTAGCTTGCCTGCTATCCTAGAATTACTAAGCAACTCTCTAACAGAAACAACAATCACACCTTCATCAAACAGTTTATGTCAATCATAAATGGTCACACTTGGTCTGATGTTTATTAGTTTTCCTCATTATCATTAATGAAATATCATTAAATATCATTATTAACTTTCCCTTAATATTAAATTTTCTTATTAACTATATTGGTCATACAATTTGCTTTGATTATCAGCATAACCATTCAGTATTTATGGGATGGAAAAAAGGATGTTTGAGCATTTGATTTTACTCCTTTTCTGGTACTTTCTCAGCAAAGAGATGCCCTGAAATCAAAACGTCAGCTGCGATTGCTCTAATTCTAAATTGCTCAAACCTCAAACCTTTTAATGAGATTACTGTCTTGTAATTATTTTTAGATATCCATTCTGCTGACTATAGATAAGTGCATTAGACCATTAAGAGCTGCATTGCTCATGTTTTCCACAGCGTCAATAAACGTTCCTCTTCTTTTCAGGCTGCGTAGATGAGTGTGGTTTAAATTGTCTGTATTATGTAATTGCAATATTCCTCAGTTATTGAATACTCTTTCAAAAAAGCGATTTTCTGATGGATTAGCAGAATGTGCAGAACTATAAAGAGAGTCAAGTTTATTGGCACTGATAACACAAAATGATAAATGAGTCTAATCGTATAAGAGAAGAATATTTAATTTATATAAAGGGAGTTGATAACAATCAAGCTAACTGTACAATATTTTAAGATGGTTGGTGGAATGGTGGACATTTCCTTACCTGCCAATCAATCCCAAGAATGTAAATTGCAAGAGGAAGCATGGCTTCCTTTCCTGTATAAGATGCTGTTACGTGTGAATTTATAAATGGCAACCGGGTTTTAAATGCTTCTTGTCGATGGAGTGATACATCTCCTTGGTTTTTACGCTTTTTGCCCTCAGGCACAATGAGACATAACTTCCAGTAACAGACTTTTGACAATCAAAATGGAATTGATATAATGTTCTGACTCGTGCGCAAACCCAGGCCCTCATTTTGCATTGTAATGCAAGCGCTTTATGTATTATATGCCTATAATATTGCCATCTTATTAGCAGCAGCAGTAATAGTGGAGGTGGGGAGGGCAGGAAAGGAGAAGAAGGAGCTGAGATGTTGCAGTATTGCTGGAATACTGCACCCATTGAATCAATTTGCACTCCTGAAACCCAAACTGATGTCAGATCCCGTGTCAGAAACTACTTTTGTACTACTTTAGTCACATCCGATCTAAATGAAACGTGTTTCGTTGACGCTAAAAGCGTAGTGTAAAAGGGGAATCGATATGTGGAATGATTTTGGCAGTGGTCATGAAGATGTTAGCAGTGGAGAAAAACATGCTCTTCTGAAACAAGAGAAGTTATCTGGTGTACACAATCTGTAATGTTCCCCTCGGTAAAATAAATCCCACTTACACTGTTTGTCAAGTCACTGCTCGCTAAATCGGGTAAATTGATCACAAGACTCAACCATCTGTCATTGCTATGACAGAGCAGCAGGGGGAAAAAAAACAAGCCAGATTGTGGTAAGAAATCATTAAGTTTTCTTTATGTTGTACAGTTGCACTCTGTTGGAAGGCAGCATCACATTTGGGGATTGGGGTGACATTGATAAATCACTTCAATTTCAATCATGGCATATATTGTCATCTCAGTCCCTTGATATAATGCAAGAGACAGGGAACTTCAGCTGAGATATTACAAAGATATGTGAAGAAATAGGCGAACAAATATCAATAAAATGTCATCTTGTCACTGCAGAATAAAACGGGACATTCTGCCTCTGGTGAAATCACTTTGCCAGGATGTAGAGTATGAAGTTCGATCCTGTATGTGTCGTCAGCTGGAATACATAGCACAAGGCATTGGGTAAATATAATGCATTGTATTTACAGCATGTTTTGATGTTTTGGCTGCAGAAAAAAAATTGTATTATTTGAAGAAGTGAGAAGAGAAACATAGCTACAGATATGAAGATCTGAAAACTGCATCCCTTCCTATAACAATAAATACATAATAATCCTTGCATTTGATGTAGCGCCTTATCACGTCTTTGAGACGTCTCAAAGCACTTCACGGGATACGCTGTAAAGTGGATTGACGGTGTATTTTTTTAGTGGGAAAAACGCAGCAGCCAACTGAGCACAGCAGTGTCCTACAAACAGTCGTAGATTAAATGATCAAATTATTATTTTGGGGTGGGGGGGGAGGGATTTTTTAAAAATAATAACATTGATGTTCTTATTTGAAGTTTGAATAGAATTTGGAAATATCTACTTACATTTCTGTGTAAATACTATGATTTGTATACTGGCCAGGAATGAACAGCATGTGTCTGAAGAATAAACGCTTCTACAACAATAAACCTTTTCTTTCCTTCTGTGGCGTAAGTTGCTTTTGGTTTCATTCATGCAGGGTGGAGCAGACAAAAAGTGCAATACTTCCTGAATTAGTGGAGTTGGCAAGAGATGAAGGGTGCAGTGTACGCATTGCTGCATTTGACACTATTGTTAATCTACTTGGCCTGTTTGACAGTGGTAAGTTAATGTAGAGTCAACAAAATGCTTGTCTGAAGCACATTGGCAGTGTTCATCGCTTAGCTAGGCAGTATGATAATTTAACATAGTGTATATCAGAGCGTATTAATTAATTTTAGTTTCTTAAAGACATAATCATTTATCTAACAACATAATAGCAAGTTTGAAATAGCATATGGTCAATTTGGTATTTTGTGAAGATTGCTGCAAGCTTTTGCATAAGGTTATTATTTCCTTCTCTTACCTCCCCCCCGCCCCCCACGTTCTTTCAGCATCATTTATTTTGTCAGAAATGCTTCATTTTATGATACTTTTCAGATGACCGAACTCAAATCATCTTTCCTTGGTGATGATGTTTTGTGAGAAATCGTTCAAAGCAGATGAGTCAATCCTCGCATCTTTGTCGCTTCAGCTTGGAAAGCTCTGTCACGGTCTCTCGGGTAAATGACACAACAACAACAACTTGCATTTATATAGCGCCCTTCATGCGGGGTAGTTTCTCGGAGCGCTCAACAATGGCGGAGCCTGATGGCGGGGGAGGGGGAGGTGACTGTAAGCACAGTCGAAGAGGAAGGTCTTCAGGTGTGATCTGAAAATGGGGAAGGAAGGTGCAAGGCTGAGTGATTGAGTGAGAGAGCTCCAAAGTTTCAGGGCTTAGTGGCTAAAAGCACAGCTGCCATAGAACGGAGGAAACAAGGGGCGAGCAGGAGTCTGGATCCAGCCGGGTGGCAGATGCGGGTGGTGGAGTGGGTAGTGAGCTGCTCGGAGAGGTAGGGAGGTGGCAGGGCATGTAAACTGTTTACTTTACTTCCTTCCCCCCACTGCGCCCCCCCATAATGTTAACTATACAGTAAACTAGTAAGTCGTCACTCAAAGGGAATAGAGCTCAGTTTTGTGTTATTCGGAATGGTGACTTAGGCACATGTTTAAATACATAAATAAATGCATCCGGGATATTGAAAGCACGATGTCTTAAGTGGTAGTGACAAGTTAAGCCAGGATCAAGTTACCAGTGTATTTAGTGTATTTCAAAAGTATTTTTTAAACCATAATGGTAGATGTTCAGCTTTTTGTTATTCCTTTTTTAGGGAATCTAACTGATGATCAACAGTTGTGGTTTCTGGATTTCTATAAGAAATTTAGTACGTTAGGACTGCAACATGAAAATGGTCACAGCGAGCCCCAAAATCAGCTCTATGGAGCAGATGCAGACACTAAATATGTGGCTGTCAGAAAGAATTGTGCCTACAATATGCCAGTAAGTACACCGACATGTTATGCAATAGAAGAACTTTTACGTCATCAGCTGTAAGAATTGTTTCAAAGTGAACTACTAAGTTTATAGTAGACTGCAACTCGTCTTGTGACGACTTCTGTGTAGGTTTTTAAGACATTTGTGCTTCACCAGCAACCTTTACAGTGTATCCCGTGAAGTACTTTGAGACCTCTTGATGCTGTGGAAAGGCGCTATATCAAATGCAAGGATTATTATTATATTTCTCCTCTTGCTCTTGTAGCGTGTGATTTGATAGGAAGCTGCGGCTTTGACTGTGTTTATGCTATTAACAATCACACAGGTTTCACTCCTGTGATTTTATGATGATGAATTAACTCTTTGATGTGTTAGTATCTTGACACATATTACAGTTTGCCAGGTTGTTAGTCCCACAAATAAACGATTGTCTCACTTAAGGTTGCATTAATTTCATTTGTTCAGAAACCTGGATTGATCTTTGTCAAATAAAGAATTTCACTCGTGATCTTAAGAATAAGCAAAATCGTTAATACTTTCAAAACAACTAATTCCACATGACTGGTTTTGTCTCCGTGCAGGCCATGGTACTTTTTGTGGATCCCAAACATTTCTACTCGGATCTTTATCTCACTCTCTCTACCCTTTGTCACGATCCTGAAGCTCTTGTTCGACGAGCTGTTGCTGCTGGCTTCCATGAAGTAAGTGTTTTCTGTTAGTTAATCATGGCTTCATTCTTTAGTGCAACTTGTTGTAGGATAATACATGGAATGCGATCAAGTGAAATCGATCTCCTGCCTGGTGATGAAGTAAGAAGTTAATCATTACAGTGCATCTCTTATCATAGATTTGAGTTTTAACAAATCATGCACCCTGTGCCATTCTTCGGGCACTTGTTTGTGGCAAATGGAATGAACAACATATCTCCTTTTGTTTTGAAGGATTTAGATAATTGGTTTCACCCTGTAAATGGCAATTATGTAAATGTGCTGAATAGATTGGAGGATAAACTCAATAATATAGACAGTTCCAAAGGTAAATGAAGTGCAATCTGATGCACCCTGGTGTTGGCTGGGCATGTGACTGAACATAAAGCAAAATGACAGTCACTTTGTGCATTGTTTGTAATCCAAGTACTGTACCTCCTGCCTAGATTATAATTGGTAAGATTGGCTGGTGCTGTGGGCGCTGGGAGTGGGAAACAAAATACCTTTTGTGTTAATTTATTAAATTGAATGATTACCTAAATGCTGAATTCAATGAACACAATTTGTTTTAAGTTGATACAGAGAAGGCAACAACAACAACAAGATTCCATTTATAGAGCGCCTTTCACGTCAGGAGGACGTCCCAAGGCGCTGCACAGTTGGGTCATGACCCGAGCAGGGGGGAAATGGTGAGGGTGAGGGGAGGGAAGGGAGGGAGCGAGGAGGGGGGAAATGGTCAGGGTGAGGGGAGGGAGGGAGCGAGAAGGGGGAAGAGAGTCGAGAGGGGAGCTGAAGGCTCGGTCAAAGAGAAAGGTTTTGAGACCGGCCTTGAAGGAGGAGAGGGAGGAAGCGGCGAAGGCACTGGGGGATGGAGTTTCAGAGCCTGGGGGCTGAGAGGCTGAAGGCCCGACCACCGATGGTAGGGCGGTTGGGGCGGGGGACGTGGAGCAGACCGGAGCCAGAGGAACGGAGGGTACGGGCAGGTAGGTAGGGGGATAGTAGGTTGGAGAGGTAGGAGGGAGCGAGGCCATGAATGGCCTTGTAGGTGAGGATGAGGATCTTGAAATCAATCCTCTGGGGGATGGGGAGCCAGTGGAGGCGAGCGAGGGTGGGAGTGATGTGGTCCCGAAGCCTAGTGCGGGACAGTACACGAGCTGCAGAGTTCTGAATGACAAGGCACAGGTTCTGAAGGCACAGGTTATGAGGTGTACTTTCGTTTTTCAAATTTACCAGAACTTCTGGAATCTTTACGATTGAGCCGCTGTATGTTTCCAATTTGGGACAAAAATGTACATATAATCACAAAGTATTGTACAATGTTTACGTTCAATGGGGAAAAGACAACTGATTTATTGTGGGGAATTACTTGCTGTGTGAAAGGATAGCAAGGCTGTCTGTAATGCACACAGTCAGTTCACTTTACGGTATGTTCTGTGAAGCGCTTTGAGATATCTTGAGGACATGATAAGGTGCTATATCAAGGATTATTATTAAAATGCAAGAGGAATCAGCCATATTCAATGGCTGCTAATACATTGGGTTAAATGGCCTATTACGTAGATTCCGGTGGTTCTACACAAGTAAGAACATCATTGCACCATAATTTGAAATCATTATCATTTATAATATTTTGTTCAACAAAATGTTATTGAGCTGATCTCCTGGGTATATCTGTCACGACCCATTCATCCAATGATGGTGGCCACTGTCTATTGACAGTCTATTTGTAAAACCAGGAGATCAGGTGTGAGTTAGAATGTTCAGCAGAATATTGCAGAGGTTTTACAATACACCTTAACTGTAATCTTGCCTTAGGTGCAACCTTCAAAAGGAGCTGGCACATAATTAGTGCAAGTTTTAAAATCCTTTGAGTGCTGATGAATTCCCACATCTTAAAATTGTATTCGTATTTTCTGACACATAACTTTGTATTCTTCAAATTCTGAATTCCTAATATTGTAACGATAGAAAAAGCTCCATGAAAATGGAGCGTTTTCGAAACTTTCCGGGACTCTATTTCCTCTTTGAATTTATTTTTCATCTTTCAAGTCGCTTAATTTTGGTGCAAAATGTATGGCTCAGCTCTTAAGAGTTATTTTTCCAGTAAACAATGCATTCCTGATCTGAGTGTAAATCCCTTCATTGTGTTCCCTGTGAACTAAAGTCCGATACATTTCACTCTCGTTACAGGTCACTAAGCTGCTAGGTTCCAATGCTTACTTAATTCACAAAGAGCTGATCATGCTTTTGCAAGATGAATCACTCGAGGTAAGATAAATAATATCAACAACAACAACAACAAGATTCCATTTATTGAGCGTTTTTCACGTCGGTAGGATGTCCCAAGGCGCTGTTATCACCATTATTTTAAATTCTTCCTTATTTGCTGAACTTCCACGCACAAGTAAGGATTCCTGTCATTCTTCAACATTTCACCTGGACAATATCCCGTAAGAAGTTTTATGTTCTGGATAATAAGGAGATTTTCCCTGACTTTGATATATTTATTGTCCCTTCCGCTCCACTATCGGAGATCATGCTTTCAGCCACTATGCCCAGAAACTCTGGAACTGCCTGCCTCAATCCCCACGCCTTGTTTATAATCAAACATATAGAGGATTGTAAGTCTTACCCAAATGGTGTACTTGCTGCCTTATACAATTGGATTGGATTTGAATTGACCAATAACTTTGCCATCTTTAGGTGTTGGATGCTCTCATAGATCATCTTCCAGAAATTCTAAAAGTAGTGACTGCAGGAGACCACGCTGGCACAGATAGCAAGGTAAACGAGCGTAGATTCTGGAGACACCTCCTCAGATCTGTTGTCATTGCAATGTTTATTTCATCACAAATGCTATAAGATTTGAATAGCAATGTTATTAAATAATTATTCATCGCAGACGGTAACAATTACCTGCAGAAATTAACACACAATCCTAGCAAAATCAGGTAAAATATGTGACATTCACAAATGGGATTCATTGGGTTACACTGCAACCTCTGGTCTGCAAGTCACAATTTGTATATTTTCAAAGAGATCCTCGAAGGGGCAATCCTTAAAGTCGACCATGATTTTGCTTTCCGGCCTTTGCCTGGACTTTTTAGGATCTTTTGGGGAATTTAGGGGAGTTCAGGAAGTCTAAGTGTTGCTGAATTAGTGAAGGTTTGGCCAAGGCTGAAATTAAATACGTGCTCTGAGAGTTTTAATAAACTCGCTTAACTGAAACATGAAAGCTTTATTGATTGTTTATACTCAAAGGAGTTCTGCATACTGTTAAAGTTATATTTGCATTTTTATAGAAAATTGCCAAATCACAAAACACTTCATAGCAATTATTGTGAATTGCTGACTGACTGTTTCATGCGGGCAGTTGCTGATTCAATGATCGATTTCCTTTTAGAACTTGTTCTGCTGAGTTTTACTGTTGGCTAACAGACCGGTAGAAGTAAAATAGTTTTTAACGCTTAGTAACATTTTCATCATTTTTTTAACACAGTAGTTGCTGTTAAGCAACTAAATCTGATTCACAAGTGTCAACCGTAACAATTATGCGTTGCAACTGCGCTGGCTCATGAATCCGAGCCATTCCTGGCATCACCAATGATGTCTACTGTGTCGATGAGTCATCATTCATTGAATCTTAAGCAAATTGCTTCAAGCTATTGTGCAACAACTACAGAAACATCAATATGCCAAGGGATCTGCTCTATGTGCTTCGTGCGGTGAATTCATTGCTCTAGATTGAGATCCATTTGGCTTTGAGCTTTATACATGGACAGGGATCAACTTACATTTTCCCTATGCACTTCTAAATGACTGATGCAATTTTAATCTGTAAGTAATGTTACCTTGGAAACCTGAACATTAAATTATACATTTATTGTTGGTTTACGTTTATTTATAAATACACAAATTTGTAAATGGTAACAAATAGAGCTAAATAATTAGATCAGCTAAATATTCACAGTATGGAATACACAGAGCTGTATAACCCCTAAATCTGTAACATCAGAAGTTAAGTCAGTGTTTATTTTATTAATATTGATGTATCTGGGTATAATTATTTGTTTGGATATGAGGCAGATCTACTGAAATCATAAGCAAGCTATCAAGCCAGTATACTTTCTGCGTTAAATAATAATAATAATAGATTTTGAAGGAACAGTCTGGCCGTTGAATTACAAACTTGTGTCTAAGTGTCAGAGGTTGGATAGTACTTGTGCTTGTGTATTGCATATAAAATAAATATCCCTGCAGGTAGGAAAAACCTTGTTTTAATCCAATATTTTGTTGTCAGATGCACGTTCCTGATTTGATTCCAGCTCTGATGATGGCTGAACAGAGAGCTGCCATTTCGTTAAAATGGCGAATTCACGAGAAACTTTTGCTGACGTTTGCCTGTTTGCCAGAAGTTCTATCCAGCGATCACATCTACCACAAGTTCTTACCCGTAATGTTTAGAATAATTACCACAAACGTAAGGACCATTTCTTCTATCATTTTCTGCTTGTTTTATCCAAGAACTATTTGAAGATTTTTATCTGTATTCAGGGATGCCAAAGTTCCTGCTTAAGGAGGAAGTTTTCCTCCATTCTGCACAAGCTTATTTTGTTTCTTACCAAAATCCTGTGTATTTTTTTAAAATTTAAAAACAATTTTTTAATTAATAATTTGAAAACATTACAATTTATCCATACTGCAAACTCGTTTCCTGGGGTCAAATTGGTTTGTTAAAAGGAAAGGCCAATCTTTCACAGTCACCCTGTTCAAATAACCAATATCGATATCTTTGACTGTTGCATATTCATGTCTTGTGGAGTTTTAAATAATCATTGGGAATAATCCAACAACAATAAGTTACATTTATATGGCGCCCTTCATGCAGGGTAGGGTCTCAGCACTCAGTGCTCCAATCCATAGAATGTACAGCACGCAAACATTTGGCTTAATCAACCCATGACGATGCTTATACCCCACAAGAATCTGTACATTGCTTTAAGAGTTTACTTAATCATTTTTGTTGTGTTTTACTGGTTGTAGATAGACTTTCAAATAAATATGAACAGGTTTTCATACGCATATTGGTTAAAATTTATAATGTAGTTACGATAACAGGTATTTGGAAAAGGGCTTTTTTTTCAAATAAGCCTTGAGCTTATACAAGCTTTATAATTATAATCGTAGAATAAGGAAACAATGCATCTATTCCAGGCACTAGGAAATTATTCTATTGTACCTCATTCACTTCAGTCTCCCTATCCATATATTAAATTACTGCCTTTTATAATGCCAGCAATGTCATTGCATGCATGTAGAATAATCTAACTCTATGCTATGTGTTAGTTAACAATTGCTGATTTGTCTCAGATGGGGATTGAATACAGCATGCATCTCTTCCATCTAGTTCAACAGTAAATTCTGTAATGTTTACTTGTAGTGACTAGGTGAATTTTATTTTCATCCTATTGCATTGAATAGATCACCAATAAAGTCCTTGCAATTGATATAATGCCTTATCACATCTTTGAGGTGTCTCAAACGCTTCGCAGAATACACTGTAAAGTGAATTGACTGAGTATTTTGTGGACAAAATGACTTGTGTTTCATGCTTTGCTGTTTTTGATACACGATTAAACTAAATCATAAAAGAAAATTAGAGTTTTTAAATGTTATTTTTGTATGCTCTAAATTTGAATGGAGCCTGTGTTTGTTTGACCATTGTTATGAAGGGAATGCTAATTTTGATAACACTAAAATTCAGGTTCGGATTATTGTTATCTAGAATGTTCTCCCAGTCCAAAGAGCCTCAGCCAGAACCCTGTGTGTGTTTGTTCGGCATAACCGCAAACTGGAACAGCGACAAGAAATATGCTGTAAACTTGTTGAACGTGAGTATTCTTTTAGAATTTAGACAAGAGTAGAACATTACCAGTAAACCGTTTCCCCAGCCTTGTGCGAGTTGTGAACATTACTGGGCTTGTCTATAATAATAATGATAATCCTTGCATTTGATGTAATAATAATAAATAATAATAATAATCCTTGCATTTGATATAGCGCTTTTCATGTCTTCTAGACGTCTCAAAGCGCTTCACGGAATAGACTGTAAAGTGAATTGACTGTATATTTTGGGGTCGTATAGTTTGAAACAACATTTTAATTTCAGAATGATTTAGAGAATTGTGCAAGAGTGCCCCCTAATGGGTTAGTCTCATTCTTTGTCCTACAAATTCTAAAAGTAGTGCTTCCACTTTTGAGAGAAATATTTTCTTTAACAGTTTTCATTTGTGTTCTCTTCCTCCCATTTGTAGCGGTTTCAAGTCCCAACATAATTAAAATTGTACTTTCTTTTGACTTTATCCAATGATTTCAAATAGGAACTTACACACAAGAAGGACTGTCCTACAACCAGCAATTATGATTGGCCCCTCTTAGCATTGAATCAAAGAGTCTTACAGAACAGAAGGAGGCCATTCGGCCCATCGTGCCTGTACTGGCTCTTTAAACTAGCTATCCAACTAGTCCCACTCCCCCTGCTCTTACCCCATAGAGCTCCCAATTGGCTACTGCTTTGAGGTTTTGTTTAAATTTTCCATCAAAGGTTACAAAATAAGATACTCTTAATGTGTATGATGACCATTCCTGAGTTGTACAAAATATGCAGTCATTACATTGTACAGTATATTCTGTGAAGGGCTTTGAGACATCTCGAAGCCATGATAATGCGCAATATCAAATGCAAGGATTATTATAATAAGCCTGGGGGACCACAGATCTTCGTGTTTCTGTAGACCTTTCATCAGAGGAAATTAAGGCAGAACCTTGGGCAAAGTATAGCTATATAATTAATGAAATCTTAAAAGATTGCAAGTGTATTTGATATAAATCATGTACCCCAGTGCTGAACCCACAAATCAACCAGGGGGCACTAGATGGGTTGTCAGGTACTGTTCCAAACAGAACATTTTTTTCGCTAATGCACTGATTCAACTCTCTGCCAGAAGTAATAGACTTTGAGTATCATTGATATAATTCCAGTCAAAAGTCAATAAGCCGAATAAAATACTGTGTCTGGACTGTGACCTCTATTTATCCATCAGTTCTTCCAGACAAATGCCACCCATTGCAGACCCTAAGAGCCTCTTAAAGTCTCTCTTAAATCTTATAGATCGTCCCTGAAATATTTCAGTAGATCAAATGGTTTACCAGTAGAATATTGAATATCTATTGCCTCACAGAAGAAAAAACTAAATTATTTTCTATTATTTGCTGCTTGAAATAGTCGTCTTTAAATCTCTAATGGTGCGTATTCTAACATAGGAGTGGAAAGAACAGAACAGTAGAATACATTATGCTGTATTTTATTTTAAGAGTTGTGCTTTAGCTTTTTGAGGATTTATTTTTTCTTCCAGAACTCGGTCAAGGAAAAAGTTATTGGACCAGACTACGATTTCTTGACACCTGTGAATATATCCTTGATATGTTTTCAAAAGCCTTTTTCTGTAAATACTTTTTTCTGCCTGTAGTTGAACTATCAAACGACCCTGTTGCAAACGTAAGGTAAGTAGGTTGTCAGTGTAATATAATCCTTGCATTTGAAATAGCGCCTTATCACGTCTTCGAGACGTCTCAAAGTGCTTCACGGAATATACTATAAAGTGAATTGACTGTATATTTTGGGGGCGAAATGCGGAAGCCAATTGCGCACAGCAGTGTCCCACACACAGTCATAATTATCTTCATAATTAGCCTTTTTAATTAACTTTACTCACTCAGGAGGTGGATAGGGGATCCTATCCCTAGTTATATCTGGTGCCTTCCAACAGAACACTTAGAGCAAAGCAAGTGAGTCGCAATGCTTTCCCAAGCAGCTTCAATAATTCGATTCACTTCCATCAGATGAAACGTATTCCCTACAGTATAACAGTCGCATATATATTTTCCACCATCCACCTTTGAGGATGTGAGTGCTGAGATTGATAATTAAGTTTTCAATGTAAGATTAATATCGACAGCGTAGTCATATTTGTTGTTGACTTGATATCAGCAGTAATTTCGGAATCCTTGATAGCAGTTTGCAACATACTGGCTTGCGTCTCTCTTTTATTTGAGCTGGCACCTCACAAATGGGTACTTATTATACCTTATGTGACATGGTGCTGGTCTGGGCTAGTACCCCATGCTAATGATGTTTGCTTGTGGTAGTTCTCAAACTTATTTGTTGTGCTAAATCCAGATATAGGGCCTCATAGCATTTAATAAAAGCAGCATTCACTCCTATCTGAGTCCTGCAGCTCAGTGGTTAGAGCACTCGCTTTGCAAGTGAGAGACCTGAGTTCAATTCCAGGCAGAGGGCGAAACTTTGGGCAAGTTTCCTTACTCCACACAGAGCCTAATAATAATCCCTCCAAAACCAAAAACAATAATAAATTGGTCATTTTCAATCTACGACTGTTTGTGGGACATTGCTGTGCACAATTGGCTGCCGCGTTCGCCCACAAATATACAGTCGATTCACTTTACAATGTGTTCTGTGAAGTGCTTTGGGACGAATATTTTTTGAAAATGGCAATCTTGTATAGTTTTTGTGCAGTAAAGCGAAGAATTATAAATCTGTTCATTTTTGATATTGGCTAGAGTAATTCCAATGACATCTGCCAGTGCTTTACAAGTTACTTTGCGTGATTGTTGTTACAGGATTAAATTATGTTACATGCTGCCAAAGCTGAAGTCTGCACTGAAACTGCCTACCGACAAACTCCTACTTCAACAACTAGAGCTTTCTGTTAGGAAATTACTGTGTCAAGAAAAGGACAAGGATGTCACTGCTATAGTGAGAATTGTAAGCTACATAATTTCTGTGCAGTCAATAATCTTATTAGGTCTTCAATATATAAAATCAATCACAGCAATTGAACGTACAGTGTTCATACTTAGCATATTTGAGGAGTACTGGTCTGCAGGGTTATGGGGAAAGGGCTGGGGAGTGGGATTGACAATACATTGCTCTTTTCAAAGAGTCGGCACAGACTCGATGGGCCGAGTGGCCTCTTTTTGTGCTGTACGATTCTATGATTCTATGATATGCTTCATTCTAGTGGGATATTTCAAATAAAAGTATGTTGAATACAAGATCATTACATGTGCAAGTGTATTATCTATTTTATGTTTCATATGCTTTTTGTTAGGAATTATATATATATATATGCAAAGAATTTGTTCAGAAGCTTAATTTTGGAATTAGAAATTGAGATTTGAATGTTTTGTTGAGATCTGTCTGCATCAGTAAATCTATTTAGCATGATCGCAATTTACTTACTAAGATTATTATTATCATTTTATTATTATCATTATTTCCATCCATTATTTTGTTCCAATTTTATTTCAGATTGTATTGGAACTTGACAGAATGGAAATTACTGTGGAATCTGTAAGTTAGCATTGTATTATTCCATTGCTCAAAAGCAAACTGAATTTGTTCTGGAACTGCATTGGATGTGACTTGTTTGTTTTCCTCAGGTACCAAAAAAGATGCAGGAAAAAGATTTACTAGATCACAAGAAGGAAAAGGAAGAAACTCTGCTGCTAGAAATGGTAAAAGCTGGATTTCTTTGAAATCGTTTCACTTTTGTGTGCCACAATAGACAGTGTTTTGAACTTGTTATTAAGGAGTCCCAACCCCGGGTGTCTGTCTCTGTGGTTGGGTTCCTAAGCCAGGGAGGACCAGGGCACTGGTGATACAGAGCAGTCGGCCTCTCTTGTCATTAGGATCTGAAGAGGCAGACCAGTCACTGGGGGCATGGGTTTTTCTACTTTGCTCCTGTTAACCTGTAAGCCAAAGCATAATGGGTAGGATGGTCCCAGCTGGACAAGTGGGAATCTTGCTACACAGGGTTCACATGGCGATGGATTTCTGTATGCATCAGACACTCAGCTGACTTGAAAAAAAGTGAAAAGGTTTGCATTCTGAAAATCTAAAGCAAGCATTGTAAAATATTGCTTCACAGGAAGAGATGGATAAACGGGGAGAAAACAAGGCAAATGAAAAGAAAATTTGTGAGTTTTACTTTCCTATTAACCTTAGAATTTTTTAAACAACTGAATGTGATTAAATTTGCAGTTACAAAAATGGATAGAGTTAACAATATTAATTCCACAGCTGAACTTTCATAAAAAGAGATTTCAAGGGGAATAAATTGACAATTTATAGAGCAAGTTAACAAAGGTGGTCCAGGAAATGTTTTCATTAAAGCAAAGAATTTAAATACCATGGGTCATAAGCTGAAGGATGAGAAGATAAGCAGAACATTCTGTACAAATATTTTAATGTTAAAATGTTCGTACAAAAGTTAATATTTTACTTGGAGATTTTGTTACTTTCTCTAGAGAATTGTAAGTTAAAATCTAGTTTCTTCAATTAATAGCTGGATTTAGTTATAGAAAGCCCTTGAAACGCAGAATTCACTGACAATCATTGTTTGACAGTAACCATACATTTCTGCCCCTTCCAAACAATATAAAAAGAGAGTTTGTGGTTCCAAAATCAAAGCTTCAACATTTTTAGCCAATAACTGCTAATATTAAGTAGAATTGTAGAAATACACCAAACCACAGAAAATTTCTTTAAACGCAGTATTTTCAGTTTTGTGCTTCTCAAAAGGTTTGTTTTGCTCTCAAAGTTTTATCTTGACATTAAAGATTAAAACTGGATGATTTATTTTTCCCCTCCTAGTTTCCTCTTTTGGCAAAGATGGCAAGAAGAAGAATAAACTGGGTCGTAGTCGTTCACTTGGTGGTCGAGTAGCTCCTCCAAAACTTGTTTCTTCTGAGCGTTCCACCATGTAAGTACAATAATGCAAGCATAACGGCACAATGACAACAACAAATTACATTTTTATAGAGCATTTCATGTCCGGAGGCCATCCCAAGGCGCTGGAGAAGGGCAGTTGCAAAGCTATTGTTTTTTATTATTGCTCTCAGCTCGAAAACTAGGTTACTAATGGTGATAATATTTCATCCATTCAGAAGATCCCAGCCAGCTATTTGAATCATTGTGCCATCTATCTGTTCTCCCAAATCATATGGTATCGACTAGGAATAAAATAGACATGTTCCTGTTATTGACATGTTCTCCCCAAATCAAATGGCTTTGCAATACAGAATCTGACAATTTGACTGTGCTTCAAGAATTGGAATTCCTATAGAAACCAATGAGCATCTATTTCCTTATTAGAGGATAAAAGCCTATTTTTCTGGGACACACAGGAGCAAACCTTTGTGTTTGTTTGCTGCCTGTGTGCATTTTATTATTCTTTCTTTTTGGTTTGTTCGGTGCATTATATTCTGCTATAGTGTTTCGATGTTTCAGTTGATTGGTAAAAGATTTCAGAAATATTGAATTCCCGTAGGCACCTGATGTGTTGTATAATGACCCACTGGAATTCCAATTGGATATCAGTCCCATTTACGACTTATTTGAAGCAAAAAGACCAAGATTGGGGTCCAAGTGCCTTCCAATGGTGTGTGAGATGCATCCAGGTCTGTGCAAATGGATTGCTAGGTGTTTTGGACTTTCAACTAACCACTTAGCCGACTTATTTCAAGAGAAGCTAAAAAGCAACGCATATATGTTCCATCAACAAATAAATGTGTACAGTCAAAACACATGTAAAGTTCTAACTAACTCGCCATTTATCTTTTAGAAAACTTACTGGGACAGGAATGGGTTCGCAAACAAATCTTACTTCAAAAAACACTCTACTGCCATTTGGTAAGTGTGTGCTCTGTCAGATATTGTTCCTCAGGGTTGTGGATTCTGTATAGTCAGTAAGACCCCCAAAAACTCTGCTGATTAAAAACAAGAAAAGTTCCTAAAACAAATCTGGATAATTGGAAAGTTGGCTGTGGCGGGGACAGAGGTTAAGATTACTAAATTGCGTTACATACATAGAACTGTAATTTCACTTCCCCCAGTTCAGTGGATTGGAATAAATTACTTTAAGTAACTCTTAAGGTGCAGGCGCTGATTGTCAATGAGTCAGTAAATCTAATTTAGTCAAATACAATCACGTGAAATACCCCCAGCAAAATAGCTAAAGTATCCATTCATACATTGTCAGTGTTCAGTCCATGGCAGGCATTATTCTGGCAGCACTCCAGAGAAATAGCACAATGAGGGCCAGGAAAATAAAAGCGCTTTGCAAGGGTGATGTTGTCTTTTATTTCAGATGGGACAACCCAAAGTCATTCCTCAGGTGGCAGTGGGACCTGCAGCCTGCCATCATCTATGTCGGGAGCAAGTTCTCGTTTTTATTCAGCCAACCCCCTTGAACAAAAAGCGAATGGGAGTAAAGATACTCTTCCAAAGAAGTTTAACTTGTAAGTCTGTGCATGCAAGCTTATTCCTCAGATTGCTAGGTAAACCATTTTGTTTACAAAACCTTTTTGCATATCTAATAAGGTTCTTGAATTTTATGAAAATTTAAGACAACACAATTTAACATTTAATACAATTTACATTAATTTAGCGCCTTTCGTGTCGGAATTGAGCAACTGAGCTGGGATTGGGCGATGCTGGGGGTGGGGTGGGGGAATATGACTGAAAGTGCGGATGCACAGCTTTGAGACCTGCCTTGATGCCTTGAATGAGGGGAGAGAGCGAGCAGAATGGAGGGACTCCTGGATGGAGATCCAGAGAACGGAGCAGAACGACTGAAATATTTTTGGAACGTGAGAGTTTATATCTCTTTGTTAATATAGTAGTTGACGATATCTAGTGGAATGCCTTTAACTTTGAGCAAAAGTTTAAAACGTTCTGTTTTTTTGTAATGAAGGAAAAGCAGGAAATCGAATCCTTAACAGAATGGAAGGAAATCGTTGGACAGTGGTGTCATGAAACAAAAGAGTGTGACTTCAGGTTTGAGCAAGTATCTTGGACAAATCTGGGTGATGGGACAAAACAGAGACCTAAAGCTTTGTCTCAGCCACCAGCTTTGAGGAGGAAGCACTGAGCGTTTAAAATAAAAGACTGCACTTTGGGTTTCACAAAAGATAACTATTTATTCTCGTATTTTGATTTTCAGCTGTTGTTTTGAATATGTGCGTGTATACGTGTTCAAATGTACACGCATACACACGCGTTTGCCTGCTTCACAGTGCTCTGTGTTTATGACAGAAGACATTACAGAGCTCCAAACGAAAATACCTCCAGGTGCCCCCACGTGGAATGCACAGAGAAATCTTAAAACATTTGCAACTGTGTCGTCTAACTAGCAAGAATATAGTTCATAAAGAATTCAGCATGATGAGGCTACCACATTCTAATCCATGCATTTAAAGGAGATCAGAGAGTGAGTGTGGGGTGGGGTGGGGGATGTGGATGAGGGATTATTATACTGTACGTCTTAGATTATTCTAAGTATCGCTCATTCACCCATAAAAGAGCTGTGAGGTGACACAGAACAATCTTAAAGTCAGTGTTGCAACTGATAGAATTCCATTCTTCCTGTAACGTTTCATATCGCTTAACTCGACGCATTAAATGCAAACTGAGCGATACTCCCATCAGCGACACAGTTCCGCTGTATTTGCCTGTAAACATTCGGGAGAATTTGACCTTTTCCTTTAGGAGTGGTTACATTTCAGATTTTTAAAAGTAATCCACTTAATTCACCGAGCTTTTGAGCCTTATAGCGAGAGGGTTACATTTTGATTATCCAAAGCAGAGGCTGTCAAAATGTCGTCCTGTCCAATATACCTCTTAACCTTGTGGGATGTGTTTTAGCCAACATGCCATTCTGGATGGGGAGAGGAAATGATCCCAAACTACTTTCTGGAGTTAGCGTCACTTACACCAATATCAACTGCCCTAATACAGTGCACTTTTGGTGTTGAGATGATGAAAATCTGGGTACATTTCTGGAACCAAAGATTCAGCACAACAATGGCATTAAATATCCTATATCTCTCTTTATCTCCTGCAATGATTTAAAAACAAAGCCTTAAGTGGCCTATATTTGTAATTTGCTGTACAATCCCTTAATACTACCATACCTGAGCATAACAATTATTTTAACAATTCTGAATTATTTCTACTTGCCTCGCTCTTCGAATTAGTTTTTTTTTTAAATGAAGCTTTTCATACTTTTTGGGAACTGCAGAGACAAAACACTGATGGCATACAGATACGTTTTTTTTAAAAAGAAACTGGATATCAGTATTATCAATTGTTAGCCTTGTGTTGCAAGTATATTTCGTGACTGCTATACACGGTACCCGCTTGAATCTGTCATGTTTGGGTTATGTTTTCTCAACTTGCGACTAGATGGCAATTTTAACTCATTTCTGGCAACCAGAGCTTTATGATAAATTTTCACTGTTGGTTTAGCTCTTCATTATATAAAAAAATTTGAAATAAAATATATTGTAGTATCGTTCTTACAATCTTTGTTAGATCTAGGTATTATTATTCCTTGATTTGATTTTAAATCGTTATAATTGAACCCTCCCACCCACATGACTGAGTGAGTGATTCTTTCAATAGGAGCAAGTGTTCTCCTTGCATATCAGTGACCATATGCTGTAAATAACCATGTGTAACTGCAAAGCAAAGTTGCATCATAGGCATGTAAGATATACAGATGTATTGTGTTTTCTTTTTATAAGATAAAACCGAAAATTGATATTTCTAATTTTTATTTTATTTGGCATGTCCTGTGATTTTTTTTAAACTGATTTTTTTTTGCAGACTTTCCTTTGTCATATTCTTACTGTACTGTCTTGCAAGAGGAATAATAACTATAAACAATGTTATGGTTTTGATGTACATAACTGGCGTAAATAAGGCCTTAATCAGATTAACCCATGCAGTCTTAAAACCTGGCTTTGTGAAACACTTTAAACAGGTAATGTAAACCCAAGTTCTGTTACAGTTGTACGTTCTATATTCTTAGATAAATTATAAACTCTAAATGGAAACTAAGCAGTAATGTTGGTCTCTGTGTTGTCTGCTACAGAACTACATCTTACAAGTTGTTGGCACATGTTTAATATATTCATGAATATTGTTACAATACAAACGAGATTTGATGGCCTGGGTGGCTTAAGAATGTAAGAAATTGTAGATTTATTTTGTTACATATTTCCTTCCAACAATTATCTGCTGAGAGCTGATATTCACACTCTCCTTTGCCAAAAAAACTAACTTACAACCCAATCCAGGGCCTAAAATTTACAAACTAAAAATCACCCACTACAACTAGCAAACGCTGGGAGCTGAAAAGGAAACAACATCTTTCTTGGATGGGGTTTGATAATTTAAACACTAGCATTGAATAAAACATTTCAAATCAATTAATGTTGAAGCAATGTGATGTAACCATAATTCACTATATGGTGTTTCTTGTGGTGCAATGTAATCCATCACAAGTGACAAAATTTTTTTAGAAAAAACTACAACATGGTAGCACAGTAACACAAATTCCAGTGAACAGTTTTATAAAATTATTTTCTGGCTGATTTTATAGTGAAATAAAATAAAGAATGAGTGCGGTTTGCTGTCTTGGCAAAGATGAGGAAATCCGAGGTGACCTGACCCTGCAATTCGCGTGGCTCAAATAGTTGTATTTTAGGTTAAAATAAACTTGCATAGGTGTGAAATACTATTCCGAATCGAAATATGTGAAATACACTTAATTTGTATTAAGATATTGACAATTCACAACCGTTCTGAGCACGACATTAAACAGCATCACTAATATTCGCAGCATCAGAGATGCCATAATGCTAGAAGATCATTAAAACTTTGTGGGATCTTTCACTCTTCCAATAAACAGCACTGTCTTGGTCGTTTCTTCGTAAATTATGAAAAGGAATGGGTGTTCCACTCTTAGTATTTTCGGTAGGGAATAAGCTGTCGCTGTAACAGCAGTAACAGCAGCAGCTTCGGTTCCTCTCTCGTTTACTTCAATCACTGCCCTGTGAAACACCTAGAACATCAACAAAAACAGAGCATGATTGGGGTCTGTCCCCCTTCTTTAAGAAGTTGGGTCCAATGCACAAAAAAAAAGAAACCTTTTTCAGGGCTTATTTTGGATTTGGAGTAAACCTACCTGAGAAATCTTCAGCTGTTCGGTTGAGGAAATTCCGGAGAAGTTTGCAGTGTTCATGAATGGTGTTGTGATTCCCAACTGCCTGAACTTCTTGGCTATTTTGTATGACTTGTCCAGCTTAAATTTTGGAAAATAAAGTTCCATTTTTCTAAGACAATAAAAGGTGCATGGGTTTACAAACCAATGGAAAAGGAAACAAAAATCAGAATTTAATATTGTTCACATTGTACTAACACCTAACTTAATACTAAGTACACAGGTATTTTATTAATAATAAAAAATAATAATAAATAATCCTTGCATTTGATTATCCTTGCATTTGATATAGCGCTTCTAATTGAATCGATTTACTATATTTGGTTAGTAGACCTGACTTCCAATGGGTTTCAGTTACTGTACTAATTTACATTGGTGGTGACCTTGTTGACTCTTTACTGGAGCGCACTGGAATAGGAGGCCACTTCTGTGAATTTGAGAAAAATAATCACAATATTCTTCAATCAAGTGGCTTTTTCAAAACACCAGCGTCTTGTCTATTCGCGTGTCTATCACTACACTATTGAAGTTGTGAACTTGGATTAACCCAATTGCCTGAAGAAAAAAAATTATTAGATGTTTATTGTGATACGTAAATGTGATTTGTGCATTCATCTCCATTAATAACATGTTCATATACCTGGGGTGCAGGTCTTCGATCCACTTCTCGATCAGTTCAGCTCTGAGCTCATCTTCCAGAAGTAGATACTCTGCATCCTTTGGTACCAAGATCAACATGCTTACACTTCCTTTGTACGGAAGCTTCAAAATTGTGCAGGAATGGGTTTTGTCATGTGTTACCAAAAAATAATCTTCTTTGAACATCATTGGAACATTGACCTTGATGTACGTGTTCACATAAAATGTTCCATCTTCAGTAAAATTTGGATTAAAAGGAGCCACCCAACTGCCTGAAGGAAACAAAGAAAGTTTATTTTCAATAACAAGTAAACACAATTTGTTCATCATTAATAACCTGCGCATTTCATTTAATCCATGTGTCACCAGTGAAAGGAGTTACAAAGATTACGGCTGACTTACAGTACATAGTGGTGCAAATGAAGATAACTGACACAGAATGGTACGGCACGGGAACAAGCCTTTCGACCGAACTAGTCCGTGCCAGTAACTATGTCAACTGATTTGCTCCATAAAAAGATTTAAAGACTTCAAGGGTTATGTTGACCCTACGATTGTTATTACCTTATTAATCTCTTTATGATAGTCACATTATTGGAAATGAAATGGTGGAACAATACAAGAGCTGGCAGAAAGGCAAATACTGTAGTATCAAGATTAATTATTTTGAAGTACAATTGTTCAGTTGTCCGAAAACGTCTGCCATTCCATAAGTGTTTTAACTTTGCAGAAGCAAAACGCTAATACTTTTATGTTAAATTATTCTCCAAATAGAAAAAAAAAATTTTGGAAAAATATATAAGCTTCTAAAACCAATAAGAAATCAGCATATTTCTCTGCTTTTCTCAGAGCAAGATTATTAACCTCTTTAGTTCCTAACGTTGTTCCTAAGATTGTTCCCCACAATCTCTTGGCCCTGCTTTAGACAATCCCAATAATGCTGCAAAAGTTGCAAAGGACAATTTCAGGAGGAGACACCAGCAATCATTTCTTCACCCAGAGGATATTTAATGACTGGGAGGGCAGTCGATGAACTGAAGAGCCTTCTTCATCCAAAACATTCTTGTGATCTGCAGATGTTTGCAAGAGTGTAGTGTTCTCTTTGTTTTTTTATTGCGGAGAAGCTTGACCAATGGTAATGGGAGGATGGGGGGGACATGATAGGTGATTATCACACCACACACTTCCTCCCCCAAGTTCAAACATATATATTATGTTTAACCTGGTTTAGAATAGGATCAATGAGGATACTATAATATTAATAATCTTGCATTTGATACAGCGCCTTATCAGGTCTTCGAGATGTCTTAAAGCGCTTCACAGGATACACTGTAAAGTGAATCAACTGTATATTTTGTGGGTGAAAATACATTTTATTTTTAAGATATTGAATGGGAGAAATCTTACCTTTGAATAAGATGTAATTAATAAGCATGAGTTTGCTGTCACTATCAACAGACTCTAAAAACCTATGAATTTTTCCATTGGTTTTGTTGTAGATGTGCTGGTTGATAATATCTTTGGTAAGAGACGTCTGTTGGAAGTTCACTGGGGTAACTTTGACATTGTAAAAGTGACGGCTCCTGTTGAGGAAAGTTGGCTTCAATTCTAGGTTATCCTGTACAAACAGGTCACTGCCCTGTGAGAGAGGCACCTCATGGTTTTGGGTCATGTTGTTCCATAGCCACTGAAACAAAATGTGCAACAGGTCTTGGTGTGTGTTCCTCCCCAGGTCTTGCAGATTGATGCCCTTCAGTATTTCATTATATGTATCTTGTTCAGCACCAAGAGACAACATGGCGAAGACTGAGGAGACAGTGATGGGTGAAATGAATACATTGTCCTCATGCAGGTTGGCTATTTTCCTGAAGAGATTAAAGCCAAATTCTGTATTCTTCTCAGTGAACATATGGATGGTTTCTGTATCAATAATTGATTGCTCTGTTGGCGGGACCATGCTCGCTTCCTCACGATATTCAAAGTCTTGCAAATGAAAAGAATCTCGTTGTTGGGGGAATTGTTTAGGTTTAGGATTCGCTCTTTCACCGGGTGGCCTTTGAAAACGGCGTCGATCTGCTACTGCACTCATCATGAACACACCAGATATCAAAAGGAAGAGAAGTCTCATTTTCAGCTTCATTCGTCCCGAAATGTTTCTGCAAAGCAATGCACCAGAAATCTAATCTTAAATGAAATGCTAAAAATGCATCACAGACATGGCTGTATGTTAATCGACAAAGTACCATCAACAGAATTAGTTTTTACGAAAACTTTTATTCCGTATCCGCTTCACTTTGAAGTCATCAAAAGTTATTATGAATTAATCTTTGATCGATTCACTCATGAAAAGGTTCTGCCATTTAAATAGCTCCCAATTTGCAATTCTCAACTTAGTGGAGTCCTGTAGCTCAGTGGTTGTGGAGTCCTATAGCTCAGTGGTTAGAGCACTCGCTTTGCAAGCGAGAGACTTGGGTTCAATTCCAGGCAGAGGGCGAAACCTCGGGCAAGTTTCCTTACTCCACACAGAGCCTAATAATAAACCCTCCAAAACCAAAAACAATAATAAATTGGTCATTTTCAATCTGCGACTGTTTGTGGGACATTGCTGTGCGCAATTGGCTGCCGCGTTCGCCCACAAATTCACTTTACAGTGTGTTCTGTGAAGCGCTTTGGGACGTCCTCCCGACGTGAAAAGCGCTATATCAAATGCAAGGATTATTATTATTATTATAGTTAACTATTATTAATCAAGTCGCTCTGTAGTGCTTGAGGAAGATTTTAAAAATATACTTTTTAAAACAACAACTTCTTAGTTTCTCTCCAGAAACAAAAGAAGTCAACAAAACATCCAGAATGCAGTCTTTAGCAAACAAATATGGTCTAATATTCTGTTATACGTAAGTGAATTCCTTAATAAGGAAACTGAGTGGAAACTTCTTCCAATAACTGGATGTGTATCATGTTACACACAGAGTCATATGGCACAGAAACAGTCCATTTGGCCCGACTAGTCCATGCTAGAAAATGTAAACGGATCTGCGCTCCAAAAGTAATTGCTTTTGAGCTGAGTTCTCACGAGTTGGTATGATATATTTCCACCTTCCGTATCAAAGAATCGTATTAACAACGGCCACATATTAGATCCCTGTCTGTTACTATAACAAAGTGCCCGCTGTAAAGCCAGTATCGTAAGATGAAATATCAAAGAGCAAAAATCCAGTTGCTTGTAACAAAACCGTGTACTGAGGTTGGGGCAATTTTCCATTTCAAGCTGTAGCTTTATGGCCGCTAAGCTTCTGTTTCCAGAATATTGCCTCTTTGTTAATTATTATTAATTATTTGTAATTATTTTCATGAGGAAAGGGACACCCATTTCTTGATCTCATAAAGCGGCCTACTCCTGTTCTCTATGGTCCTTTAGTATTTCTTCTGTGAGAACCTGTTACACTGTGCGATTGCAAATGATGCATGACAAGTTCGTAAATATTTTCATTTGTATACACTGCTGGTAAAGAAGATGTAAAAACTCAACGATTCCTCTGCTTGGGCTTGTGCTGGTCCTATCAAAATTAATAACCTTTACACAATAAACACCTTGAATAGCAGTAAACCAATATCTAATTTGACTGCACTAAGAAATTATTGATCCAGTGATCACTTAAATCCACCACAAGACATTCTTTTGTCTTACTACATTGAACCGATTCTAAATGAGGGCAGTCTATCAGTTTATCTAAGTTTATTGACCACATTACAAATTGACAATCAAGTCACTGGTAAAGAGATGCAACAAGTTAAAATTGTTCTCGTTTAAAATCTTACCTCTCAAGAGTCTTCTTGCTAGGCACGTCCTCCTGACGTGAAAGGTGCTATACAAACGTAATTTGTTGTTGATGGAGGAAAGCAGCAGATTTTTTTAATGCCTCATGCATTAGAACAAGATTCTGGTAGATATTTAGTTCCGAAGGAAAGTTGACTGAATACAATAAGTCACAACCCAGAGGGTCTTTTACTTGTTAACTATTAACTCTAAATACACATTGCTCAACAGTGGTAATCTGGTCTTTAAAGCTTAATCAAAAATACAAGCTTGCAAAATACTTTCAGCTAAATGATCTTAGGGCACACACATATGTTTATATATGAACAATAATAATGCATTAATTTAGTGACTTCACATGGGGTAGCATCTCGGTGCGCCGATATATATATATTATACTGTATATTGCACTTGGAGATAAATGGAAGCCTATTCTGGAAAGATCAAATCAACTGGGTTGAGGATCTTATTTAAGTGTCTCCTTTGTGATCTTGGTCGTGTGAATTGGATGACATTTTCCTCTGTTGACTTAACTAAAAGAAATGTTTCAAACTACTTTCTACAAGGAACAATTTAACAAAACATGAAAATTGTCCATAAATGTGTCCGATATAATTCAGCCAAAGCACAAAATACAATAGAACCAAATGTAACATCCACTCTTCTTGGTTTAAGGTTTTTGTTCAGAACAAAATAGACCCTGATCTTTGTTGACTTATCATTATTATCATAGATCTGGCCTATTAGCCACAATGGAACTGTACCTTTATACAATGAGACTGGTCCCAGAAACCTCTGAACCAAAGTATTTGAGTAACAACGTTATGGACTATATAGGAAACAGCATTGGCACAGAGGCAATTTGAGATTGGCTGGGACTACACCATTACCTCCTTACTAGCGCTGCCTTCCTGATCCTTTCACAAAGCCCTGTCAAAAATATCTCGGTACAAGTCAGCACATCACTACAAATTGGCTATGAGATGCCCATTGGAAGGTGGAAGAGTATTGCCAACTTACTTGTATGATATGAGTCGAGGCAAGTGCTCAGCCTGTCCCACACAATTGAAGGTCTAATCTTCTGGCATCCAAATTTACGATTAAACCGGCAAAACACATCCAGGCCTGTCCACGCTCACTGAAAATGGATGTGTTAAACTCGATTAAATATAATAATTACCTGAGCGGTTAGGAAGAATTGCACACTGCGCTGTAAACAAGTGCTCAAAAGATTAAATATTGTAAACTCGGCATGTTATTATTGATTATTTTGACTCAGAGAAACATTAATTTAAGAGTCTTCCATTCAATTGTGTTGTAACTCACGGAACGAGTTAAACATTTTCCTTCCCGACACTGGTTAAGATACTTGCAATCAATCAATTAACTCAACGTTTACGTGAATGTTTAGACTGTTTATGGTGTTGGGGAATCTTATCAAATAAAGTAAGTATTTGTTTTTTGCAATGTGTGGGCATCCTACAGGGAGCAACGACCATCAGAATAAACACATTTCTTTCATTGGCTCAGTCTGTCAACACCAATGTTCTACTTTCAAGGTGACTGGTCAACTGTTTTGGTGAGGGTAACTGATCTCTATCTAAGGGCCTTTTGCAACAAAAACCTTGTCCATTCTGATGGATGAATTTGAATATCTGAGCCCCTAATTCATGGAGAGTGCAATGAAATTCATAAGAATAATTCAATCCAGTCCACCCTCACTATAGGTGCAGTAAGTAGCTCAATGCTCATTACAGCACTCGTGGTTTGAGGATCAACAATTCTCAGAAGTACTGAGAGGGAGTATTTCAAAATGCATTTTAATACCGTTCATTAAAATAAGGACTGGAAAGTATTTAGGAATATTGCAAAGTTAGTCCTTCAGTGATATTGTCGTTTGTCCCAGAGGTCCATTTTGTTTAGTCTTTGGTGAACTCTTCAACCACTTATGAAAGCATATGAGAGAACAGTGCAGGTCAACAGATTCATCACACAATGATAGTCTTATATAATGGAAAATCATCCCGAGTGAGGAGAACATGCAACATTGAGCCGTCCTGGAAAGAGATCAACAACAACAAGATTCCATTTATAGAGCGCCTTTCACATCGGGAGGACGTCCCAAGGCGCTGAAATGCGAAATGTTTACAGCAAAATGAACGGGAAAGCTTTGTATCACCTAATCGGAAGTCAAGTTTGGGACCTACCCAGTGCTCACCTAAAAAATGGCTTGTCAACGGGAGTTTGAACTGAAAATTTAACCTTAAAAATCCAGAGGCAAAGAAGTCAACATCTTCAAACTTGTCAAGGAAACCGGAAAGACTAATGAGGCTAAGTGTTTTGGGATGCCGCTATATTAATGCAAGTTGTTGATGTTGTTGTCAGCTTTCGTCTTAGTAGCGCAATTAAACAGTGGCAGATGGTGGATTTCAGACTCCAGGCGGCAGTGAAGGGGTTAAGGCAGTTAAGGTACACTTGACAATTATTAACAAGATGATCTTTTGCTCAGGTTGTGACACAAAGGCTGAGGCCTTCAATTGGATGTGACTTCTGATTCTCGTCCAAACACGGCTAAAACCAAACATTAGGGCAGCACGTTACAGCTTCATTTTACTGGTGGCAACTGGTCTTTATGTTCCTGATGTGCAAAAATCTACGACTGAATGAAAGTGGATTTGGATTTCACCAGGTCTCCTTTTCACTGAATCAAAAATACACAGTCAATTCACTTTACAGTATATTCTATGAAGCATTTGAGACATCTCAATGACGTGGTAAGGTGCTAAATGCAAGGAAATGCAAGGATTATTATTATTAATTTATGTTATTGATTCCATGCAATGTAATATTTTGGACAGTAATAGGCAAGAGAGAGATTTAAAGCTGATCTTAACTTTTGCCACGTGCCCAATATCTATAATGGGTGGCGAGACTCAGATTTCAAATGGGGTCTGTGTAACACATACAAAACAAATTTACTTGGGAAACATGCAATTGTGTTTCAAACAATGGAGTCAACTCCAAGCGGAGTCTGAAGAAGTCAGAAGTAATCTATGACAGTTTCGCTAGCTAAAATATTGAGTTGTTAAACTGACCCATCCAGATAAACAGTTCAGCATTTTTCAGTGCTAACAACGAGGTCATTAATCTGCTCAAACATTCATTGTGTGTATGGAATATTGGGCCGGACATTTAAATGGGAATGACTCGATTTTTCAGATTGATTCTTCACTGCGTTTTGAGAAACTTACTTTGGGAATGTGTAGGATTGGTTGGATGGCAAGTCCAAGTGACTGAGAAAAACCACCTCCATTATATATGTATCAATAGATATAAGTAAGGGTAAATTAGCCCCAGTGTTTGCCTGCACCATTCCTCCAACTGCCCCCATCCTAAGGCTCTGTTAAGTGACTATTTCTGTGAGAAGATGTGTGAATTTTGTCTTTTAAGGTCCTTCATTTTTTTACCTTAATTCTTTTAATGATATACAAATCCTTGCATTTGATATAACACCTTTCACATCGGGAGGGCGTCTCAAAGGGCTTCACAGGGTATACTGTAAAGTGTAGTGACTGTGTTTTGTACACACTGAAACACTGCTATTGAAGTGATGTTGGGGTGGAGAAGGTGATCGGGTCTAGGTGTTAAGGAGAAGACCTCTTCTTACAAGCAGGCAATGATCAACAAGTCTTTCTAAGCCATCTAGATGGAGAGGAGAGAGAAATCACCAGCACAACATCTCTGGAAAATGATCATTAAGCAAAACATGCAGCTCAGGCCACAAGTAATAAAAATAATAACCTTTGTATTTGATACAACGCCTTATCATGTTGTCGAGCCGTCTCAAAGCGCTTCACAGGATATACTGTAAAGTAGATTGACTGCACTTTATGAGCAAAATGCGGCAGCCAATTGCACACAGCAGGGTCCCGCTAACAGCCATGGAGTGAGTGACCAATTTTATTTGGGGGATTGTTAGCTAGGACACCCGGAAAGAGAAACTCCTTTTGCTTGTTGAATAGTGCCGTGGGATCTTTATCGTCCACCTGGACAGGCAACGGGACCTCAGTTTAACATCTCATCTGAAGAACGGCATCTTTGCAGCATTGCATTGGAATGTCAACTTAGACAATGTGATTCCAAGTCCCAACTTGGGACTTGAACACACAACCCTCTGACTCAGAAGCGAGAGAACTACCACTGCACCACCACCACCACCAATAACAACAACAAAATTACATGTGTATAGCGCCTTTCACGTCGGGAGGACATCCCAAGGAGATGGACAGACAGGGTTTCGGATCAGAGCTGAGGATCAGAGTGGGGGAGGGGAAGGGCAGGAAGGGAAACAGGGAGATCAAAAGCACGGTCGAAGAGGAGGGTCTTGAGGTGGGTCTTGAAGGTGGCGAGGGAGGGGGCGAGATGGAGGGACTGCGGGATGGAGTTTTGGAGGGTGGGAGCAGAGTGGCGGAAGGCCCGCCCACTGATAGTGGGGCAAGCAAGTAGGGGGACGTGAAGCAGGCTGGAGCCGCTGAGCGGAGGGAGCGAACAGGATGGTAGGGAACTAGGAGGTCTCAGAGGTAGGGGGGAGCAAGACCATGGAGTGCTTTGAAGGTGTATAAACGCACCAGGTGTTTATACAGGAGCTGAGCAGTGTACAGAGTAATGAATGAGGTGAATCAAGTTTCAGGTGCTGGAGACACAAGCACCATCATCATCAACAACTTTTGTATTTTGCTCAGTAGATTAACAAAAAACTTTCCTGAGGTTTTATCAGAAGAATGACACGATTGACATAAATTCTGTGACATGGGCTTCCTTATTTTTTCTTAAGGAAGCGCATGTCATTTGGCTTTAGAGCTTGTTCGAGGTGTTCAATAGGTTACTATAGGGTGCTGAAGATTATTAGCAGAAGAAGGTTACAAGTCAGCCTTGTTGATTTCCATTTGCCCACCACCGCAATTCTTTTTTGAGCAAAGATTGTTACAAGATTTGGATCAGTGTCGAGTTACACGCTTTCAGTGGGGTTCATCACTTTTCCAGTAAAAAGGACACTCTTGGTTTTGTGCTCGACAATGATTAGAATGAAAGGTCTGTTAAATTTATGCCGTGGAAAGATTGCCGTTGGTATCATTTCAGCACCAGTGGCTGCCGCAGCTACGGTTCCTATTTCATCGACTTCCAGAACTGCCTCGTGGACGATCTAGCAAAACAACAACAACAAATTACAGTTGTACAGCGCTTATCACGTCAGGAGGACGTCCCAAGGGCGGTAGGGGTAGGAGGGTGACCGAGGGCACGGTCGAAGAGGAGGGTCTTGAGACCGGTTTTGAAGGAGGCAATGGAGGGGGGGAGGCGGAGGGACTGTGGGATGGAGTTCCAGAGAGTGGGGGCAGAGAGGCAGAGAACCAAAGTTCACACACTAATTACTTGTACATCCATTTAACATATTTATTAACATGTAACCTTCACTTGTGTGAAGCTGAACTGGACAGAAACCAATAGAGCTGCTTCACTGTGGACTACAGCCTACATAAGGTGGTGTAACTCGAAGTCCAGGAAGAGAAAAGGCCTTTTGGCTTTTCAAAACTCAACTCATTTTACAGTAACTTTCATAATAGCATCTATATAAATGCAAGTTGTTGTAATAGACAGAGAGAGAGAGACAGACAAACCATACAACTTTACACATTTATGGCACAGAAGACTATTCGGCCCATCGTGTCTGTGCTGGTTCCCTCAAGAGCAATCCTTTCAGTCCCGCTTACCTGTCCTTTTCCCATACCCTTTATAGCCTAATTTTTTAAAGATATTTGTCTCGTTCCCCTTTGAAGGCCAATATGGATTTTGCCTCAACCACCTCTGTTGGCAGGGCATTCCATATCCTAACTATTCTACGCTTGAAATAGTTTCTCCTAACTGTCCAATTTGCTCATTTACGAACTATGATAAATTGATACCCTCCCGTTACAGACTCACCAACAATATATCCTTTGAAGCACTTTGAGACGTCACAATGTGCAATGTCCAATGCAAGGATTATTATTATTATAAATAATCCCAATTTTTTTTCCTCTGTTTACTCTGTTTGGTAGATTCCTAAACATAAATATAGAGGGGGACAAGCCAACAGGTGTAGATTGTTAAACAAAAATGTAAATCCAAATCTTGCATGTGTTTCCTGGTGAGGATTATGAATTATGAAATGAACCGGCAATATATTAGCACCTTAAGCACTCAAAGGTTCTTCCACTGTTTCCACAATTCACCTCCCCACAATCTGCATCAAAAGTAACTGAATATTCTTTATAGCAAACTTGAAAACGTTTTACCTGTGTAACCTTCAGAGGTTGGGATGTACTAATCCCAGACAGGTCTGCTTGACTGTCAAACAGGTCTGTGATGCCCAGTTTCATCAGTGTATCTTTAAGCTTATAAGATACCTTCAGTGAGAACTTGGGGATTTGCAGTTCAATATATCTGTGAGAAAAAAATGATCAGAGTGAAATCACTTCAACGTCACATGTATTCCCCTTCCTATGGTGTGTACATTCCTGTTACTACTTTACAAAGTTTTCTTAATTGAAGACATTTTCACTGAGACGGTAGTTAAGGGAATTGAACAAAATAGCAATACAGACGGAGAGACACATGACAGAAAGTTACACCAATTGGGAGCAGATCCTGGTAACTGTCTCTCCATCCAATGAGAGTTCACACCTTCACAGCTACACTGGGGCAGTAGGCAATGGGAATTGTCAATCTCTCCACCTTACCCCCTCCTTCCTCATCTGCGGGTCGCGCCTGAAGACCTTCCTCTTCGACCGTGATTACAATCACCCTACTCCCCCATTCCCCCGGCCCGGGGTCATGCTCCGCCATTGTCAAGCCCTCTGGGACTCTACCCTGCATCGGGAGGGCATCCCAAGATGCTGGACAGTCAGGGATTTCGACCCGAGTTGGTTACGGGATCAGGAGTTGTGGGCAGGAAGGAAAGCGGTGGGTAGGTGACCAAAGGCGCGGTCCAAGAGGAGAGTCTTGAGACTGGCCTTGCAGGAGGAAAGGAGGGAACGAGATGATGGGACTGTGGGATGGGTGGTCCTGAGTCTAAGTAACAAGTTTCAGCTGGTGATATGATCTTGAATATGATCGGATTTATATTGAGCTCAATATCACTGAGGTAATGAACTTACCCTGTGGTTAGCGACTGTACCACTGATAGAAATTTCGAAACGCTGAAATTCTCTTCCAACGCATTCATTTTTCCTTCGTCTGGCAAAAGCAAGACCATTGAGGCATTTCCCTTGTAGGGAAGCAGAACCACAAAGCTGAACAGATCTCTTTCTTGCTTCGCGTAATATGAACCAATCCTGCTCATCATCTGAACTTTGACTGTAGTTGAGGCGTCCACATAGAAATCATCGGTTCGAGTATTTCGAGGATCGAAAGGTTTCAACCAACTACCTAAGGATCAGTTAAAAATAATATCGACACTTTAATTGGGATTCCTTGTTTGAACGAATCTCTTAACACCTCACTACTGACATAAATCCTGTGAAGTGCTATGAGTTGTTCCCGTGGTTTGATGGGGCAGCTTTTCGTAATTATGAATGGTTGGTCAAAAGGGAGTTATTTTTTACGAGTCAATGAGAAGGGAGCATAGATCGAAGCCCATCACTGGAAGTAAAGGCGGCAGTAAGAAATGTTATTGTACACTGTTTGAATGCTGAATGCCTTTCTGCAAACCTTTTTTGAATGTCAGCCAGCCCATAACAGCACTTAAAAGAGGAATCACACAAATAATAATAATAATAATCCTTGCATTTGATATAGCGCTTTTCACGTCTTCTCGACGTCTCAAAGCGCTTCACAGAATAGACTGTAAAGTGAATTTACCGTATATTTGTGGGCGTTAAGATACTTAAGGACAAATAATACTGTGGAGTACAGCGGATCAGAATGTGGCGTGTGTGGAAAGAGATGTGTGTTCTTAAAATCACACTGGCGCACAAGTCATTTGCTATGATTTTACATCAAATTCTCATTCGTCGCTGAACTGTTATCTCACAATCTTAAAGGTATACAAACTTGCCCAAAGTAAGACTGTTACGCTGAAATGTTTTGATCGCGCTTACTATCACCTCTCCCCCTGGCTCGTTGTCCGACTCCCCCACTGTTAAGCGCTCTAGAACGCTAACCCTGCATGAAGGGCGCTATATAAATGCAAGTTGTTGTTTCTGAAATTGACAGTAACTAGCAGAGAACATTTCTGTCATGCCACAGTTTAAGCTGAGCCCGTAAGTGCTTTTAAAAGTGAGTTTAGATAAATGCTTTAAAAAAACCAATATCAATCGGTTTGGGGAATTCGAGCAGGAGAGTGAGATTGGATTCGGTAGCTCATGAGGAGAAAAACACCAGACCAGGATTGTTGGGTTAAAATGCTTGTTTCTATGCCTTAGCATTCTATGATTTTCCCTCCATGAACAGGTACTGAGATAGAACCTACAGGAAATCATCTTACCTTTGAAGAATATGTAGTTAACAATTACCAACACAGAGTCCGGATTGATAGTTTTAAAGATTTCTTCAATTTTGCCGTGTGTCTTGTTCCTCACATAAGCATTGATCTGTTGTTTGGCATTTTCTGTGGCTCTGAAATCGACATTGAATGTGTCCGCTTGATAGTAACTCTTTGCGTCGTGAACAAATTTCTTCTCCAGCCTGAATCCATCCTGTACATACATAGAGCATCCCATCGACACCAAACTATCTCTTTCATTTGTCAAGAGCTCCAGAAGGAGTTTGAACGCTTCGTGAACTAAGGGTTGTGGGATGCTGGTGTTTGTGTAACCCAGAGCCTTACAGAGCTGCTCCTTAGTGTTGGACCTTGTGCCCAGTGACACGATAGCCAGAGCTTCTGAGATGCTTAGTGGGGAGAAGAAATGATTCTTTGAAGTCCCTTGACTGTTAATCTTTGAGAACAGGCGCCGGGCGAAATCTGTATTTGACTGTGAGAGATGGTAGCCGTGCTTTACTGTGAAGTTGTGGTGGATTTCATCCAGTAAACTGGTACGAATTGGATCAAGTGTGGGTCTGGCTGAGCCAGGCAACCCGTTAACACTGTCTATTGCACTGAGGAGCACAGTGGCTAACAGCAAAGCGAGAGGGAACAGTTTCTCCATTGTTATCCTGTAAAACAAAGACATTGGTTTTACAATGGTTTCAGATTATATAAAACTCAAGAAGCCTTCATTTAAGACACACAAACCACACATCCTCAATCTTTCCATTGGCTGCTTTGCTACAACAGGGTTATTAACACTGCCGATCTAAAGGCTAAAACAAGCCAATGTGTTCAACAGTTTCTGACGCCACGTGAATGCAGAAGCTCTTACTTCAATTCTCTCCTCCCTGCTGCACAGTCTTCGGTGTGATGTGTCTTGTTATACTGATCAGGTCCACTCCAAGTGCAAACACATTCGGTACATATTTACTGGGGAGGTGACCTTTGGTCTTTGAAACATAACCCTGGTGTTTGCACAGCAAATAAACTCCAATGCATTCTGCTGTTTCACAAAACCAAAAAGGTTTGCCACATTAACTTCATGCAACGAAAAGAGGTAGAAGTTAGTCATCTCGTTAACTGTGACTAAGAAACGCATGTAGACCATGGACAAAGTGGAAGTCGAAGGAGATCTAGGCGTGGGAGTTGTTCCTCCTGTCAAGAGAATAGGAGGCTGCAATAAACAAGACAGGTGCAATGTTGGGATTCATCAAGAGAGTGGAACAAGAGGACGTCGGTTTAAAGTTGCAAAGGGCAATTTCAGGACAGACACCTGGAAGTTTTTCTTTGCCCAGAGGGCACAACTGGAAATAGTTGGTAGGAAGCCAGGATGCCGAACTCATTTAGAAAACCGTTTGAAGCTGTTCTGGGAGGCCCATAAGGTGGGTATTCTGGAAGGATGAGATCAAATGAACTGATCTTGTGACCGACAGATTGTGGACATCAATATTCAACCAAATTATCCCGTTGGCTCGCTCGGGACCCTGAAATCTCTCATGGTTTTAGGTTTGAGACCATCATCCTGGATTTGAATATTTCTTCAATTCGATCCTAATTTAGAAATTGGTTCTCTGCAGTTTTTTTCAAAAAAAATCTAGAACCTCTTACTTTTGAAGGCTCTGCTCTTCATTCCCATTCAACTGTTGACTTTCTTCTCCTTTTTCCTGTGATCTCCAATGGACCTCACATCCCTATTGATAAAGCAAAAGGCATGTTTTCCCCTGTCACATACCGGTCTTCCCCTCAAAATACTCAAACTCTAATTAACAACAACATGGAGGAAAGTCAGAATGGGCCATGGCACGGATGTAGGGATTAAAAGACAGTTGAGGGTCGAACAAGACACCAAGGTTCCATACCGGCTCAGTGAAGTATAGTGGGCATCCATAAATAGTGATGCTGTCGGTGCCTGAGGTGAGGAGCCGCTGACAGGAGACAAGCAGGAGGCCTCGGTCTTGTTGATAGATAACAGTAGAAAATTGGCTCTCATCCACGACTTGATGTCTGACAGACACTCCGTCAGGACAGCAGCGATCCTGGAGTCAACCCTGGAAGCAGAGAGAGAGAGAGAGAGAGTTGGGTACCATTCCCATACATGTAGAAGTTAACCCCATGCTTGCGGATGATATCCCAGAGTGGGAACATGTAGATATTGAAAAGGAGAGGACCAAGGACAGAGCCCTGATGGTGCGAGCGTTGGAGGTAGAAGCCATTGGTAGATACAAAAAGATTAATTAAGACCAATTATGTCCAAGACTTCAAAACAACATCTGCACCAAAAATGACCTTGGTTTCCTCGATTTCATTAACAATTCCTGTTCTGAACTCTTCAATCGTTCCTTCAGGATACCCTGCCGACATCTTCAGACCATTTGCTTTCCTACCCAAAACTACTTGTATCCAAGTAACCAATTCATTCACATACAATGGTTTAGGGTTTTGTCTTTCTATTCTCAGGCTTGTTCGTTTCTGCTTTAATTGTGAAGAACTTTGGAGATTCGCTGATCTGTCAAATGTTCAGTATGTAAAGCAATATTGCTGCCTTATCAGGTACATACAGTGCGGTTTAATTAGTATGAGTAGGGCAGTGTAAATGCTTAAGACTATCATTCTAGTGACTTACTTACTCTATGGTGCTGACTTCTCCCACTCTCTCATTTCATGACAGGATTATTGTGATTTGCAAGGATTATTATTAGTATTTCAAATAACGATTTTCTGCTATTTCTTTTTTCTGAAAGACATATACGTTAGCTAATTGATACAGCAGAGATCCAATTTCTGTTTAAATAGAAATGCACACTTTTAACATTAAATTATTACAAGATCAACTCTTTTGTTTCAGCAGGTAATCTTGGTGTGTTTACCATTTAAAGACAGACATCAAAAGGAGTGCTTACTCCAAAAAAACCTTGACAGGTCTATGCAAAAGGATTACATATTACCCCAAAATACACTGACGAAGCTCAGCTTCTTTGGACTTAATGGATAAAAATCTTCACAGTGCATTGATAAAAAGTTCAGCATAATACCAATAATATATAATAGAATTCCTTTTTAAAAAAAATAAGAGTGAGGGGAATTCAGGAACATTGGATGAGATTAGAAGCAACAAGTGTGAGAAGCGCGAGTCTTCAAGATGTTCTTTCAGACCCAACGACTGAAGAATTTTCAAGAAAAATGCACTGTTCTTGAAGTATGGATTCAGGAGAGGTCTGGATGAAAAAGGCCATTTGGCCAATTTGATTTAATTTCATCACTGCCCAGAACACCAGTAGCAGGTACGGATGCCAGGAGAAAGAGTAAAGTCCCGACGCTCAGTTGGGAAATGTCTTGACCAAACAAGACACTGAGCTGAAGGCAGTGGAAGAAAACCTCCTTGTGATGTGCCGAGCTTTGAATCCATGTTAGGATATAAAACCAAGGCTCTTCCTCTTAAAAGACATATGAGAATCAAGGAAGATGGTTAAAATCCTGCAATGGTGGGATTGAAATGGACAGTGGGTTCAGAGGGAAGGGGGAGAAGCAGAGGGAGCTGGAGAGATGTTTCCACCTCAGGTTTCGGTGTTTCCATTCTGGTTCTTTAATAATAAAAACAACTTTAATTTGATAGAGAGTTTTAATCAAGTTGATACGTCTCAAAGAGCTTCACAGAATATACTGTAAAAGTTAATTGACTGCATATTTGAAAGGAAGGAAGAAGTTATTAAGTGACAGCAATTGAGTAGCACTCGACAAAGGGAACAAGGAAAAATTCCAATTTATTTAGTGAAGGGAATAATAGTTTTTAAATGAGGTGTCGACAAGAAAAGCATAATTTGTCTGGGCTCGCTGCTAGCACAAGGATAATCCTGGAGTTAAATTCATAAGAATAATTCAATCCAATCGACCCTCACTATAGGTGCAGTAAGTAGCTCAATGCTCATTACAGCACTCGTGGTTTGAGGATCAACAATTCTCAGAAGTACTGAGAGGGAGTATTTCAAAATGTTTTTTAATACCGTTCATTAAAATAAGGACCGGAAAGTATTTAGGAATATTGCAAAGTTAGTCCTTCAGTGATATTGTCGTTTGTCCCAGAGGTCCATTTTGTTTAGTCTTTGGTGAACTCTTCAACCACTTATGAAAGCATATGAGAGAACAGTGCAGGTCAACAGATTCATCACACAATGATAGTCTTATATAATGGAAAAGTCAGTGTTTGTACGTACATGTAAGTTGTTGTTGTTTGATATGAAATTCAAAGTTGCTACCTCTGTGATCCTGTATTTGTTGGAATTATTGGAATGAGATTTTAATTTATTAAGTTAATGTGGTTTTGTACATTGCCAATAATTGAATGAAAGTACAACACATTATATTTGTTAGGTGATGGTATCGAGGGATAGGGGCAAGGGCGGGTAATTGGAGTTGAGGTACAAATTGAAGCTAGCGCTCAACATCCATCACAAGTTGAAATGTAGAATTTTTTAGCGTAGGAAACCTTTTGACCCATCGAGTCTCTGCCATTGCACCTCAGATTCAAATTGAAAATCGAAATTTGGATTTCAATCACATTCCACAGGTTTTGGATGATTATCTCTGCACCTGTTTAACGCAGAAGAACATTAATTTGTTTTGCATTTATTGAGTTGTGGGATCCATCATCCCGAGTGAGGAGAACATGCAACATTGAGCCGTCCTGGAAAGAGATCAACAGCAACATGTTTGAACGGGAGGGTCTTGAGGTGGGTCTTGAAGGTGGCGAGGGAGGGGGCGAGATGGAGGGACTGCAGGATGGAGTTTTGGAGGGTGGGAGCAGAGTGGCGGAAGGCCCGCCCACTGATAGTGGGGCAAGCAACTAGGGCGACGTGAAGCAGGCTGGAGCCCGCTGAGCGGAGGGAGCGAACAGGATGGTAGGGAGCTAGGAGGTCAGAGAGGTAGGGGGGAGCAAGACCATGGAGTGCTTTGAAGGTGTATAAACGCACCAGGTGTTTATACAGGAGCTGAGCAGTGTACAGAGTAATGAATGAGGTGAATCAAGTTTCAGGTGCTGGAGACACAAGCACCATCATCATCAACAACTTTTGTATTTTGCTCAGTAGATTAATAAAAAACGATTGACATAAATTCCATGAACTGGTTTATTTTTTCTTAAGGAAGCGCACGACATTTGGCTTTAGAGCTTGTTCGAGGTGCTCAATAGGTTACTATAGGGTGCTGAAGATTATTAGCAGAAGAAGGTTACAAGTCAGCCTTGTTGATTTCCATTTGCCCACCACCGCAATTCTTTTTTGAGCAAAGATTGATACAAGATTTGGATCAGTGTCGAGTTACACGCTTTCAGTGGGGTTCATCACTTTTCCAGTAAAAAGGACACTCTTGGTTTTGTGCTCGACAATGATTAGAATGAAAGGTCTGTTAAATTTATACATTTGAGGCATTGACATTGGCATTATTTCAGCACCAGTGGCTGCCGCAGCTACGGTTCCGATTTCATCGACTTCCAGAACTGCCTCGTGGACGATCTAGCAAAACAACAACAACAAATTACAGTTGTACAGCGCTTATCACGTCAGGAGGACGTCCCAAGGGCGGTAGGGGTAGGAGGGTGACCGAGGGCACGGTCGAAGAGGAGGGTCTTGAGACCGGTTTTGAAGGAGGCAATGGAGGGGGGGAGGCGGAGGGACTGTGGGATGGAGTTCCAGAGAGTGGGGGCAGAGAGGCAGAGAACCAAAGTTCACACACTAATTACTTGTACATCCATTTAACATATTTATTAACATGTAACCTTCACTTGTGTGAAGCTGAACTGGACAGAAACCAATAGAGCTGCTTCACTGTGGACTACAGCCTACATAAGGTGGTGTAACTCGAAGTCCAGGAAGAGAAAAGGCCTTTTGGCTTTTCAAAACTCAACTCATTTTACAGTAACTTTCATAATAGCATCTATATAAATGCAAGTTGTTGTAATAGACAGAGAGAGAGAGACAGACAAACCATACAACTTTACACATTTATGGCACAGAAGACTATTCGGCCCATCGTGTCTGTGCTGGTTCCCTCAAGAGCAATCCTTTCAGTCCCGCTTACCTGTCCTTTTCCCATACCCTTTATAGCCTAATTTTTTAAAGATATTTGTCTCGTTCCCCTTTGAAGGCCAATAAGGATTTTGCCTCAACCACCTCTGTTGGCAGGGCATTCCATATCCTAACTATTCTACGCTTGAAATAGTTTCTCCTAACTGTCCAATTTGCTCATTTACTAACTATGATAAATTGATACCCTCCCGTTACAGACTCACCAACAATATATCCTTTGAAGCACTTTGAGACGTCAGAATGTGCAATGTCCAATGCAAGGATTATTATTATTATAAATAATCCCAATTTTTTTTCCTCTGTTTACTCTGTTTGGTAGATTCTTAAACATAAATATAGAGGGGGACAAGCCAACAGGTGTAGATTGTTAAACAAAAATGTAAGTTCATTCAAATCTTGCATGTGTTTCCTGGTGAGGATTATGAATTATGAAATGAACCGGCAATATATTAGCACCTTAAGCACTCAAAGGTTCTTCCACTGTTTCCACAATTCACCTCCCCACAATCTGCATCAAAAGTAACTGAATATTCTTTATAGCAAACTTGAAAACGTTTTACCTGTGTAACCTTCAGAGGTTGGGATGTACTAATCCCAGACAGGTCTGCTTGACTGTCAAACAGGTCTGTGATGCCCAGTTTCATCAGTGTATCTTTAAGCTTATAAGATACCTTCAGTGAGAACTTGGGGATTTGCAGTTCAATATATCTGTGAGAAAAAAATGATCAGAGTGAAATCACTTCAACGTCACATGTATTCCCCTTCCTATGGTGTGTACATTCCTGTTACTACTTTACAAAGTTTTCTTAATTGAAGACATTTTCACTGAGACGGTAGTTAAGGGAATTGAACAAAATAGCAATACAGACGGAGAGACACATGACAGAAAGTTACACCAATTGGGAGCAGATCCTGGTAACTGTCTCTCCATCCAATGAGAGTTCACACCTTCACAGCTACACTGGGGCAGTAGGCAATGGGAATTGTCAATCTCTCCACCTTACCCCCTCCTTCCTCATCTGCGGGTCGCGCCTGAAGACCTTCCTCTTCGACCGTGATTACAATCACCCTACTCCCCCATTCCCCCGGCCCGGGGTCATGCTCCGCCATTGTCAAGCCCTCTGGGACTCTACCCTGCATCGGGAGGGCATCCCAAGATGCTGGACAGTCAGGGATTATGACCCGAGTTGGTTACGGGATCAGAAGGAGTTGTGGGCAGGAAGGAAAGCGGTGGGTAGGTGACCAAAGGCGCGGTCCAAGAGGAGACCTTGAGACTGGCCTTGCAGGAGGAAAGGAGGGAACGAGATGATGGGACTGTGGGATGGGTGGTCCTGAGTCTAAGTAACAAGTTTCAGCTGGTGATATGATCTTGAATATGATCGGATTTATATTGAGCTCAATATCACTGAGGTAATGAACTTACCCTGTGGTTAGCGACTGTACCACTGATAGAAATTTCGAAACGCTGAAATTCTCTTCCAACGCATTCATTTTTCCTTCGTCTGGCAAAAGCAAGACCATTGAGGCATTTCCCTTGTAGGGAAGCAGAACCACAAAGCTGAACAGATCTCTTTCTTGCTTCGCGTAATATGAACCAATCCTGCTCATCATCTGAACTTTGACTGTAGTTGAGGCGTCCACATAGAAATCATCGGTTCGAGTATTTCGAGGATCGAAAGGTTTCAACCAACTACCTAAGGATCAGTTAAAAATAATATCGACACTTTAATTGGGATTCCTTGTTTGAACGAATCTCTTAACACCTCACTACTGACATAAATCCTGTGAAGTGCTATGAGTTGTTCCCGTGGTTTGATGGGGCAGCTTTTCGTAATTATGAATGGTTGGTCAAAAGGGAGTTATTTTTTACGAGTCAATGAGAAGGGAGCATAGATCGAAGCCCATCACTGGAAGTAAAGGCGGCAGTAAGAAATGTCATTGTACACTGTTTGAATGCTGAATGCCTTTCTGCAAACCTTTTTTGAATGTCAGCCAGCCCATAACAGCACTTAAAAGAGGAATCACACAAATAATAATAATAATAATCCTTGCATTTGATATAGCGCTTTTCACGTCTTCTCGACGTCTCAAAGCGCTTCACAGAATAGACTGTAAAGTGAATTTACCGTATATTTGTGGGCGTTAAGATACTTAAGGACAAATAATACTGTGGAGTACAGCGGATGAGAATGTGGCGTGTGTGGAAAGAGATGTGTGTTCTTAAAATCACACTGGCGCACAAGTCATTTGCTATGAAATGTTTTGATCGCGCTTACTATCACCTCTCCCCCTGGCTCGTTGTCCGACTCCCCCACTGTTAAGCGCTCTAGAACGCTAACCCTGCATGAAGGGCGCTATATAAATGCAAGTTGTTGTTTCTGAAATTGACAGTAACTAGCAGAGAACATTTCTGTCATGCCACAGTTTAAGCTGAGCCCGTAAGTGCTTTTAAAAGTGAGTTTAGATAAATGCTTTAAAAAAACCAATATCAATCGGTTTGGGGAATTCGAGCAGGAGAGTGAGATTGGATTCGGTAGCTCATGAGGAGAAAAACACCAGACCAGGATTGTTGGGTTAAAATGCTTGTTTCTATGCCTTAGCATTCTATGATTTTCCCTCCATGAACAGGTACTGAGATAGAACCTACAGGAAATCATCTTACCTTTGAAGAATATGTAGTTAACAATTACCAACACAGAGTCCGGATTGATAGTTTTAAAGATTTCTTCAATTTTGCCGTGTGTCTTGTTCCTCACATAAGCATTGATCTGTTGTTTGGCATTTTCTGTGGCTCTGAAATCGACATTGAATGTGTCCGCTTGATAGTAACTCTTTGCGTCGTGAACAAATTTCTTCTCCAGCCTGAATCCATCCTGTACATACATAGAGCATCCCATCGACACCAAACTATCTCTTTCATTTGTCAAGAGCTCCAGAAGGAGTTTGAACGCTTCGTGAACTAAGGGTTGTGGGATGCTGGTGTTTGTGTAACCCAGAGCCTTACAGAGCTGCTCCTTAGTGTTGGACCTTGTGCCCAGTGACACGATAGCCAGAGCTTCTGAGATGCTTAGTGGGGAGAAGAAATGATTCTTTGAAGTCCCTTGACTGTTAATCTTTGAGAACAGGCGCCGGGCGAAATCTGTATTTGACTGTGAGAGATGGTAGCCGTGCTTTACTGTGAAGTTGTGGTGGATTTCATCCAGTAAACTGGTACGAATTGGATCAAGTGTGGGTCTGGCTGAGCCAGGCAACCCGTTAACACTGTCTATTGCACTGAGGAGCACAGTGGCTAACAGCAAAGCGAGAGGGAACAGTTTCTCCATTGTTATCCTGTAAAACAAAGACATTGGTTTTACAATGGTTTCAGATTATATAAAACTCAAGAAGCCTTCATTTAAGACACACAAACCACACATCCTCAATCTTTCCATTGGCTGCTTTGCTACAACAGGGTTATTAACACTGCCGATCTAAAGGCTAAAACAAGCCAATCTGTTCAACAGTTTCTGACGCCACGTGAATGCAGAAGCTCTTACTTCAATTCTCTCCTCCCTGATGCACAGTCTTCGGTGTGATGTGTCTTGTTATACTGATCAGGTCCACTCCAAGTGCAAACACATTCGGTACATATTTACTGGGGAGGTGACCTTTGGTCTTTGAAACATAACCCTGGTGTTTGCACAGCAAATAAACTCCAATGCATTCTGCTGTTTCACAAAACCAAAAAGGTTTGCCACATTAACTTCATGCAACGAAAAGAGGTAGAAGTTAGTCATCTCGTTAACTGTGACTAAGAAACGCATGTAGACCATGGACAAAGTGGAAGTCGAAGGAGATCTAGGCGTGGGAGTTGTTCCTCCTGTCAAGAGAATAGGAGGCTGCAATAAACAAGACAGGTGCAATGTTGGGATTCATCAAGAGAGTGGAACAAGAGGACGTCGGTTTAAAGTTGCAAAGGGCAATTTCAGGACAGACACCTGGAAGTATTTCTTTGCCCAGAGGGCACAACTGGAAATAGTTGGTAGGAAGCCAGGATGCCGAACTCATTTAGAAAACCGTTTGAAGCTGTTCTGGGAGGCCCATAAGGTGGGTATTCTGGAAGGATGAGATCAAATGAACTGATCTTGTGACCGACAGATTGTGGACATCAATATTCAACCAAATTATCCCGTTGGCTCGCTCGGGACCCTGAAATCTCTCATGGTTTTAGGTTTGAGACCATCATCCTGGATTTGAATATTTCTTCAATTCGATCCTAATTTAGAAATTGGTTCTCTGCAGTTTTTTTCAAAAAAAATCTAGAACCTCTTACTTTTGAAGGCTCTGCTCTTCATTCCCATTCAACTGTTGACTTTCTTCTCCTTTTTCCTGTGATCTCCAATGGACCTCACATCCCTATTGATAAAGCAAAAGGCATGTTTTCCCCTGTCACATACCGGTCTTCCCCTCAAAACACTCAAACTCTAATTAACAACAACATGGAGGAAAGTCAGAATGGGCCATGGCACGGATGTAGGGATTAAAAGACAGTTGAGGGTCGAACAAGACACCAAGGTTCCATACCGGCTCAGTGAAGTATAGTGGGCATCCATAAATAGTGATGCTGTCGGTGCCTGAGGTGAGGAGCCGCTGACAGGAGACAAGCAGGAGGCCTCGGTCTTGTTGATAGATAACAGTAGAAAATTGGCTCTCATCCACGACTTGATGTCTGACAGACACTCCGTCAGGACAGCAGCGATCCTGGAGTCAAGCCTGGAAGCAGAGAGAGAGAGAGAGAGAGTTGGGTACCATTCCCATACATGTAGAAGTTAACCCCATGCTTGCGGATGATATCCCAGAGTGGGAACATGTAGATATTAAAAAGGAGAGGACCAAGGACAGAGCCCTGATGGTGCGAGCGTTGGAGGTAGAAGCCATTGGTAGATACAAAAAGATTAATTAAGACCAATTATGTCCAAGACTTCAAAACAACATCTGCACCAAAAATGACCTTGGTTTCCTCGATTTCATTAACAATTCCTGTTCTGAACTCTTCAATCGTTCCTTCAGGATACCCTGCCGACATCTTCAGACCATTTGCTTTCCTACCCAAAACTATTTGTATCCAAGTAACCAATTCATTCACATACAATGGTTTAGGGTTTTGTCTTTCTATTCTCAGGCTTGTTCGTTTCTGCTTTAATTGTGAAGAACTTTGGAGATTCGCTGATCTGTCAAATGTTCAGTATGTAAAGCAATATTGCTGCCTTATCAGGTACATACAGTGCGGTTTAATTAGTATGAGTAGGGCAGTGTAAATGCTTAAGACTATCATTCTAGTGACTTACTTACTCTATGGTGCTGACTTCTCCCACTCTCTCATTTCATGACAGGATTATTGTGATTTGCAAGGATTATTATTAGTATTTCAAATAACGATTTTCTGCTATTTCTTTTTTATGAAAGACATATACGTTAGCTAATTGATACAGCAGAGATCCAATTTCTGTTTAAATAGAAATGCACACTTTTAACATTAAATTATTACAAGATCAACTCTTTTGTTTCAGCAGGTAATCTTGGTGTGTTTACCATTTAAAGACAGACATCAAAAGGAGTGCTTACTCCAAAAAAACCTTGACAGGTCTATGCAAAAGGATTACATATTACCCCAAAATACACTGACGAAGCTCAGCTTCTGTGGACTTAATGGATAAAAATCTTCACAGTGCATTGAAAAAAAAGTTCAGCATAATACCAATAATATATAATAGAATTCCTTTTTAAAAAAAAAGAGTGGGGGGAATTCAGGAACATTGGATGAGATTAGAAGCAACAAGTGTGAGAAGCGCGAGTCTTCAAGATGTTCTTTCAGACCCAACGACTGAATAATTTTCAAGAAAAATGCACTGTTCTTGAAGTATGGATTCAGGAGAGGTCTGGATGAAAAAGGCCATTTGGCCAATTTGATTTAATTTCATCACTGCCCAGAACACCAGTAGCAGGTACGGATGCCAGGAGAAAGAGTAAAGGAGTCCTGTAGCTCAGTGGTTAGAGCACTCGCTTTGCAAGTGAGAGACCTGAGTTCAATCCCAGGCAGAGGGCGAAACCTTGGGCAAGTTTCCTTACTCCACACAGAGCCTAATAATATTCCCTCCAAAACCACAAACAATAATAAATTGGTCATTTTCAATCTACGACTGTTTGTGGGACATTGCTGTGCGCAATTGGCTGCCGCGTTCGCCCACAAATATACAGTTAATTCACTTTACAGTGTGTTCTGTGAAGCGCTTTGGGACGTCCTCCCGACATGAAAAGTGCTATATCAAATGTAAGGATTATTATTTTATTTTTAAAGTCCCGACGCTCAGTTGGGAAATGTCTTGATCAAACAAGACACTGAGCTGAAGGCAGTGGAAGAAAACCTCCTTGTGATGTGCCGAGCTTTGAATCCATGTTAGGAAATAAAACCAAGGCTCTTCCTCTTAAAAGACATATGAGAATCAAGCAAGATGGTTAAAATCCTGCAATGGTGGGATTGAAATGGACAGTGGGTTCAGAGGGAAGGGGGAGAAGCAGAGGGAGCTGGAGAGATGATTCCACCTCAGGTTTCGGTGTTTCCATTCTGGTTCTTTAATAACAAAAACAACTTTAATTTGATAGAGAGTTTTAATCAAGTTGAGACGTCTCAAAGAGCTTCACAGAATATACTGTATTTGAAAGGAAGGAAGAAGTTATTAAGTGACAGCAATTCAGTAGCACTCGACAAAGGGAATAAGGAAAAATTCCAATTTATTTATTGAAGGGAATAATAGTTTTCAAATGAGGTGGCGACAAGAAAAGCATAATTTGTCTGGGCTCGCTGCTAGCACAAGGATAATCCTGGAGTTAGTTGCTGAAGCATTTTGAAATTATAGAGTAAATATTAAATAGCCTTGGTCTTTTGTTTAAACAATGACGTACTTTGGTGTGTTTGTTACATTGATGTCCTCCTTCAAGGCCGGTCTCAAAACCTTTCTCTTTGACCGAGCTTTCAGCTCCCTTCTCGACTCTCTTCCCCCTCCTCGCTCCCTCCCTTCCCTCCCCTCACCCTGACCATTTCCCCCCTCCTCGCTCCCTCCCTTCCCTCCCCTCACCCTGACCATTTCCCCCTCCTTGCTCCCTCCCTTCCCTCACCCTGACCATTTCCCCCTCCTTGCTCCTCCCTCCCTCACCCTGACCATTTCCCCCCTGCTCGGGTCATGACCCAACTGTGCAGCGCCTTGGGACGTCCTCCTGACGTGAAAGGCGCTTTATAAATGGAATCTTGTTGTTGTTGTTGTGACAAAGTTCTTGCACTGAATAAAGCCAAAGATTCGCTGGTCATCGGAATCAATCATTCCAACCTTAGGGATCACCTCTTTTACTTTGAACATTTCAAATACAGGTGTAAAATCTGAAGCTAAAATAAATATTCGAACAAAGCTTATGCTGTGGAGAATGCTCGTCTCGAGTATGCAGCTAAAAAAAAGTCACGGAACAGACCGAGTGTAATATAATAATCCCGGCATTTGATATAGTGCCTTATCACGTCTTCGAGACGTCTCAAAACGCTTCACAGAATATACTGTAAAGTGAATTGACTGTATATTTTGAGGGCGAAACATGGCAGCCAATTGAGCACAGCAGCGTCCCACAAACAGTTGTGGATTTCAGCAGCGTCCCACAAACACGCCTGATAAATGGAGGGAGAATAGAAGGCAAACGTAAATGTCGCTATACCTTAAAACAACAACGAATTACACTTGTACAGGGCCTTTCACATCGGGAGGACGTCCCACTGCACAGGTAACGCCAAACCATTTTGCAGCAATTTAAATCTCTGAATGTGTTGAGTATTGGAATGAACTGAGAGTAAGAAACGGTCTTACAAAAAAGTAGCACAAAAAAGTCCAGAATCAGGCCTGATACAATTGCAGTCCAGGCTAACATGCACCTGTGGGTGCTGACATCTACACCATCAAAGCCTAGCGCTAGTCATTGCTTTTAATAAAGAATTTCCCTCACTCACCACCCCCCCCCCACCTCCAAGACAGACTCGTGTAAATATTTTAGTAGAAAGGCGGAAAACACCCAATAATACCACCTGGTGCATCTTCATGCTGTACAGGCTGGGCGTTTGCTGGGTTGAACCGCAGTTAGCGCTGAGTTTGGGGGGGCAGCTCGAGCACTACCATTGACATCACCTCCTCACGAACAAACTATTTCTTATTATTATAACGAGGGAAATCCCAGTTCAGGTTCCTGACCCTGGTCACTTTCTAGTGACCCTTTCTGGAAAGTATGTTTATGTGGAGTCCTGTAGCTTAGTGGTGAGAGAGCTTTGAGGCATCTCGACCACGTGTTATGGAGTTATATCAAATGTAAGGATTATTATTACTATTTATATGGTCACTGGGGAGAGAGCAGGTTCAGGCTCAGCTTTCACGGTTCCCAAAACTGCTCACACCATCTTCAGTTCATGAGGAATGGGGACTTGGCAAGATACGAGAGGGTGTCCAGCTGCTCTTGGAACTGTACGAAATCAAGGCAGCTTCAGAACCCCAGGGAAGAAGGGAATTGGATCAAAAGGTAGGAACATACCCAGAAAAACACGATGATAGTCATAAAATACTTCAAGCTCATTGCCTGATCCTTGATGTATACGTGAATTAACAATAAAATGCCAAGAGATTTACACAGCGGGACGATAAATAATTTGAGATGCGGAAACATTTTTATATTGAGGTACATCCCTTGATCATCGTTTTAATGCATATGTTATAAAATGATTAAAAAACAAAAAAAACTTTCAGCACAGATCAAAAGTATATCAACCTCCGTATTTTAAGTTAAGAAGTCAAGCTATGGAGTTCATGTACGTACACAAGACATAATGGAGTATGGCACCGAAGACACAAGATATATTGAAATCTGTTAATTTAAGCACTTAACAAAATTCAAAGCATTCGAAATCTAGAAAGCATTGATTCTATTTGACAGAGAAATCAATTCAGTAACTAATTAATGCACCAGAGATTGTGCAAAATAAACATTTAAAGGAATTACAGTGAAACTAGTGATAAACCAGAATCTCCAGACTGAAACAAACGTGTGGGTTAAAGACGACTTGCCAACACTACTAGTGGATAGAATCGTAGGAAATGTGCAGATTACGAACCCGTTAGGCCCATCAAGTCTATGTACTAAACGACTTTAATCCCATTCCTCTGCTCTTTCCCCAGGTTGTTTAAAAATACTTTTTCGCAAGTGCTCTCCAATTCTCTTTTCAGTAGTTATGGATTCAATGTCAACAGGTATTTGTGATAAGGCATTGCACATTTTAACCTCCTTGCGAAAACATTCCTTCTAACATTTCTTCTTTCTTCCTTCTAGAGTTAAGTCAATTTATGCTCTCTTGTTACTGACTTGCCCACAAATCCAGTCACTACGCTTTACAATATATCCTGACAAGCGCTTTGAGACTTCTTGAAGACGTGATAAGGTGTTATACCAAATGCAAGTATTATTATTATTATTTTTCCAAAATAATAGCAGAAGCAGCATCTCTCCTTTTACACTACCCAAACCCATCCATTTTGAAAACTTCAGTTATAATCCTCTTAACCCTTCACTACTCCAACTAAAGGTGTCGGGAAAGGTTAAAGGAAAGAAAATCTCACAAAGATTCTACAGCTGCAATAACAAGTACAAAAGGTGCTTTAACTACTATTGGAACTGAGTGGAGATGTGTATGTATTGCTCTCATTCCTGCACAGTATGATTTATAATCCGCGGTACAACAGTGGACATGATGGGCTTTATACAATGCCCACACCACCTAACTCTGGATAATTACTCATGGTTCTGAAACTTCAATAAACTGATCTGAATTCATCAACTGTGTTGAGGTGCTTCATGTTAATAAAGTGCACTTTAAAGGCTGCAATATACATTCTGTTCCGACACAATTAAGACTGCATCAATGTGTTCAAAAATTCCAGTGAAGTTTGCCTTCATAATAAAGTTAATCTCTTTTCTTTAACAGGCACATAGGGGTAAAAGTTACACACAGGTCCTTGGAAATGCACCTTTACATGGGAAATCCCATTAGTGGTAGCCATTGCCAAAGGTAATGTGCCTATTGCTCACTTGAGATTTGCCTTACAATCCTTCTAATCAGAAACGGACCTATTACTGTCAGCCTTTTGTGAAAGTAATTTTCTGAAAGGTGTGCAGTTACTTGTCTACGTTACCCACATTCAGAGAACTGCAATAAGTAAAGAATTAAGTTCCCGTTTGCCATCTCTGGCGCTAAAGGTTTTCTATGCATCATTTGAATTCAGTGTGAGAGTAACTTCCCTTTACACAAGTCTGTGTGACAGGTTTGGGGCTCTCCTCTTCGGTTTGATTTGGGGCTGAATGTAACTTTATTCCTCTCCTCCCTCCAGGCCTCACTCAAACTCGAAAAATGCCTCAATGACTCGCCCCTCACTAAAGGTGGACAGATCGGCCGAGCTCGCTTTGGTTCAGTGTGGTGTGCGGAGTTTGTGAGAACGAGGAATGGACAACATAAGGTTCATAGTAACACCAAGGTATTGGGGTTGGAATAAACAGTGATTTGCAAAAACAAGGTAAAGCTCTTGTCCAATTAGAGAATTAATGCTAATTAGCATCACTATAGAGTGACTTCACGAAAGCAGTAGGGCCACACTTGGGTATCATTCGACAACGGCAATTCCCCAAGATTAGAAACACAACAAAAACTCAAGGCCTGTGTTGCCAATTCCCGGTGAAGCTCAACGTTCCTGAGAACGTTGTGTCTATCTTCGTCCTTTAGCTGGCCTGGATTTGAAAATTATCAAACTGAGCCGTTTCGAACGTGCTCGTGCCAATAGCTGCCCAGCCGTTGTCTGGCTGCTCTACTTGGACATCCTTCCACAGTGGGTAGCCATTCAGGAATCCTGAGGCCAGGTTGTCCTGAGAACAGAAGAATTGAGAATTATAATAATCCTCGCACTTGGTGCAGCAGCGCCTTATCAGGTCCTCGAGACGTCTCAAAGCGCTTCACAGAATATACTGCGAAGTGAATTGACTGTGTATTTTGTGGGTGACACGGGGCAGAGTTTAAAAGTGAGCCAATTGTTACAAATAGTTCCACTCACACCGTAAGGCACTGACGTTAATACCACTCACCTGAATGCTGAGCGTGAGTGTGTGCCATATTCCTGATCGTGTACCGGACAGACCTGAAGCCAGCACGATCAAACCAGCTGCAAAACATTACAAAATAATACACATTATTACCAGAGTTTCCAGAAGCTATGGATCATGGTCTAAGGTAAGCACTAGGGGGGGAAATCTCCTGCTTTTTAATAAAAAAAAGTCCCTCGCCTGTTTTGAAATGAACTTTAGGCGTTTGACTGAAATGATAACCAGAATTTGTATTACTGCCAAAATATAAACATATGGAAAGGTCGACTGCCTGGCCAAGCGCTGGAATCTGGGATTCGAAAATATAAAATTGCTAATATTTGAAGCGCTCTGGGTCCCTACCCCGCGTGAGGGGCAGTATATAAATGCAAGTTGTTGTTGCTGCTCCTAAAAATGCAATGGAGCCGTGGACATGCAAAATTTAGACGTGTTAAAAAAAAAGGTTGTGCCGTCACATGTGGCTGACCACCGGGTACCAGAAAAAGAAGTGGAAACCAATCATAGTGATAATAATTGATACAGCGCTTTATCACGTCTTCCAAGACGTCTCAATTGTTTCACAGAACGCACTGTAAAGTGAATTGAAATTGTATGCGAACAAGGGCCAGTGTGTGACTTCATGGGCCCAACTCTTGAAAGAACACGCTCTCCACTCTGGTGATAGTTTGGTCATTTACACAGCAAGGAATGAGTTAATTTTCTAACGAGCTCCAAAACGGATAACGTTTTCTTAAATTGAGAACGTTCTCGGCAACACAGCAGAAAAAATGGCGTTTCAGTGTGGAGTATCTGAACTGATGAAACAAAACAGTAAATCTTACAGAGGTCATTTGTAACCTTGTACGTCCCATCAGCAAAGACCCAGTAGAACAGGCCTTTGGTGCTCTCAATAACTTCCCCTCCTTGGTCAACTCTTCCGGCAATAAACACACCTCCAGTCTTGGGTTTCTCGATTAGAATGTCACAGCTTACATTCAGATTTGTCCTGGAAAGGCAGGTTTACAGTTAATATCCACTCAACCCACGATTGTTTGTGGGACACTGCTTTGTGCAATTGGCTACTGCAGTCCGCCCATAAATACAGAGTCTCTACACTTTACGGTATGTTCTGTGAAATGCTTTGAGTCGCCTCGGAGATGTGATAAGGCGCTATGCAAATGCAAAGATTATTATTAACATCTTTCAGCTGGAATGAGCAGAGTCAAGTATATAAAAGGTGTATGCTTCAATTTGAAGCTGTGGATATTTATTCTGGTTAAATCAAGGGCACAAATTTACACGGTTCTTACCAATTCATTTAAATCCAATTTGCACACATTCCAATCCTTTTAAACCCAGTTTGGCCCGATTTCAAAAAAACATTGCAGAACAACATATTTATGATAAGTGACAAGGGATTCATTTCTGCATCTTATTTTTTCCAACATCCAATACAAATTTACATTTATATAATGCCTTTTTGTCGGCATCCCAAAGGGAGTGCATTTAATCTCTCTCTACATATGGAACTACTTCAAAGAGCAGGTTGTACATGCTACTGCACCTGTCTATCTAGATTCTGGATGCCATTGCCCATTCATGTAGTATACATATCCTTAGTTGGCACCATTAAAGGGAACTCAGAATTGTATGAATCCTGTGACTGAGTTAATTTGGGGGTGGAAAATACTGACCTGAATTCCCCGACACTCAGTCCATTTCCTCAATGCTACTTTGCTTATAAAACAAACGGATTTTGAAAAAATGAATCTAAACCCAATAAAAAATATTTGACAAAAGGCAAAGTACTGCAGATGCTGGAAATATTCTGCAAAGAGCTTTGAGTCAGTCTCCTAACCCCCTACTAACCCGCCCGCTCCCTCCACTCAGCCGGCTCCAGCTGCTCCACGTCCCTTGACCCACCCGCCATTGGTCATCCCCCTTCCCCTCCCCTCCCTTGTCCCCCCTGATCCCAGCTCGGGTCTGAAATGCTGTACACTATCCAGCCCCTTGGGACGTCCTCCCAACGTGAAAGGCGCTATACAAATCTTGTTGTTGTTGTTGAAACATCTCGAAGACGTGATAAAGCGCTATATCAAATGCAAGGGTTACTATTAATATTATAAACACAGAAGTCGCTGGGAACGCGCAGTAGGTCAGGCAGCATCCATGGAGAGAGGAAACTGAGTTAACTATTCAGGTCAATGACCTTTCGTTAGGAAAATGATGGAACTTAACCAAATGCTGAATCTTACCAGTTGTAATCACCAATAACACTGATAGCTTTGTCAGCGTCAGACGCCCATGTTATTGGTCTCTGAGTCACAACCTGACGCAAAGTGAACACGTGTTGACCTGGGTCTTTTAAGTTTGTGAAGTATTCAAACACTCCAGTCTGATCGGCAAAGTTAGGCGCTTCGCTGAATGGTGGATCCACTGAGTTGTTTGTGAAACAAAAACAAAAGAGAAGTTAAAATAAAATAGTTTCCAAACTTTGATGACCTGAGGGTACAGGGGCCATGGTAATGTCACACTGCGAATTAAGCCAGAGGTTATAGCTGGCAAAAGACCAAGTACACCTACTTACCAACATTAAAATCATCTTTATACACTTTGGGGAATGGCTGCGATAAAGGTACATAAGGAAAACTGCCCCGAGTTCCGGTAGTGATGGTGGTGAAAGTGTAAACTTCATCCAAATCCAAAGACACAGTAAATGATCCCTTGACTACCTGTGAAGTTAAAACAAATACTTTTAAACCATATACTATACATGGATAGATTGATAGTGTGACTGGGCTCCGAATACCAATAAGTACTGTATACTTGGTTGTTCCCGTTCCACGTTTCCAACTTTGACGCACTTTTCCCTCTGTCAAAACGGCTGAAAACTCGTTCTTTACACCACTGTCACTCCATTGGCTATTTTTTTAAAAAAATGAATGGGGGAAGCAAGGAGCTGGGAAAATGACAATTTAAGGAGTTTAAGCTTTTTGCAGAAAATTAGCAAAGGGTATCCGTAAAGATGTAAGTTACCTTGATTGCAGGTTGTCGAGTGAAAAACTTTGAGCTCTTATTGCCGAAGTCAAATTTGGAATGCCACACTTGTAAACGTTTCAGTTGTTTCTAAAGAGAAAATAATAATAATAATAATAATCCTTGTATTTGATTATAGCGCCTCATCATGTCATTGAGACATCTCAAAGCGCTTCACAGAATATCCCGTAAAGTGGAGTGACTCTGTATTTTGTGGGCCGAAATGCGGCAGCAGAATGTTCAGATATGAAGTTAAAAGATTAACAGCGTCACACTCTTATAATAAATTATAATAAGAATAATAACCTTTGCATTTTATTTCGTGCCTGGGATGGAAGGGTTGCAGGACAGTGCAGATAGACGTAGAGAGGGGCGATACTTTGAATCAGCAAATAAGTCACTAAAAAAAAATATTATCCTGTCTTTTAAGAACTGCTTGTCAATTATAATTCTGATCAGCAGTTCCAGTTACTGATGACGATTTAATTTGAACTCTGAACATTTTCACAGATATTAAGTTCGAACCACTACTCACCAAGGTATAATGTGCATTTTTTTATTACTGGATCATTTGTAACAAGTATACAAACACACAAACACAAAAACAGCCTCTAAACTCGAGCAATACATCGGTTAATAATTACTTACAAAGGATCCTTGTAAATCAAAAGTCGCATTCTGTTTCAGCACCACAAAAGGAAGGAGTGGAGGCCGGATGCAGATGGAATGATTATGGGTCTAAAATTAGAAACAATACCTTGAAATAGTTGATTGAGAAAGCACTGAGCACAGAGACAATGTGCCCTACAGTACAGTGGACAGTGTAAATATGAACTAAGCCAATATCAAAGGCTGTGTGGGGAGATGGGGGTGAAAAACATACGAGACACAGTAGTTATAACAAATTCCTGTTCCTGACTACAGGACACCTCTGTTAATCAGCAGCTCGCTAAAATGCAACTTTGCTTTTAAAGTGGGTGGCTTTAAATCCTGGTTACTAGAAGCAAAGCACGTTTCAGACCCTGGACTGCCCAGTTTGGCTTCTCGTGCTAAAAAAAAAGGATGACTTTGCACAATAAGCGCGAGAAATGCCACTGATGTCACTTCCTGATGACCTGGAAATCGGTCATTTTTAGCACTTTACTGTAATAGGAAGGGGGTGGGAGTGTCTCCGTGAATGAATCTACATCAGTGCCTTATCATGAGCAAACGGAGTCAGTTCCTCCTCCTGACAGAAAGACACACGACCACAACTGCAACTGCAGTATTTTGGTAACTCAGTATTTATAAACATCTGCATTTGGCACAGAGATTCACTGAAACTGAAGAGAGGACTACTGTACGTACCATAGTTTCAATAATAACGGTGAGGTTTCCTTTCCCGTCAGTGAGAGCCACATAAGTGCCACCCTTCTCCAAATATCCAACAGTCCTTAGGTAATACCATCCTGGCTGAGTGAACTGTGTGGTGTGCGCTGTGTAGGAAGGGTTAAAAGAGATCAAACAGCCTTACAATACAAAATTACATTTCGCTTCGGGAGGAAGTCCCGAGGCTCTGGAACAAATTCGTGGTCACACATTCACAAAGTCCGACTCCCAGTCGAAACACAAGCTCCGTGATTTAGCCATTTGATGTTACTTGCCTTCAAACATTTTAAGGATGTGGGGCACATTTATTTAATAAAACATCACATTATTGCATCTGCTATTGTACCCACTAGAGGCCGTCTGAGAGCTGCAAACACGTTGGCTAAAATGTTAGCTCTTCGGTAGCCTCTCGTGGCAGAATGTAGGAATTATTTAGAGAAATGTATTGAGGTAAAGCAGAGGTAAGTAGAGCAGGAAGCGCTGGTCAATGATGACCAAGGAAACCTTATTGAACTTTGGGCACAATATGAACAGTAAGAGACATAATAATAATATACATAATCAATGACGCAGAAGCAAGTCTGGTTCTTACAAATCTGAAACCATCGGAAATACAGATTTCAACCGAGATGGCACAAAATTCTGAATCTTACTGAACAGATTACTAAACCACGATTTTCTGAAGCGGACTGACAATCCACTTCTGTTTGCTGGATTCCTGAAGATACTCGGACCTTCTGCAGTTTGGGGCTTTCGCGTTAACGTGTACCTGTAATCCAAATAGGTGACTGAACTTCATAGTGCCCGCTCCATGGTTGATCAGCTGTCATCAGTCCGTCTCGCCCAAAAGGCAGCTCTTTGTAATAACTCGCCACGAGATTCCATGAAATGGTGCTGGCAGAGAAAAAACATGAGATCTGAGAGGCTCTGTATTCTATATGTGTTCTACAACGACCGTTTGTGGGACACTGCTGTGTGCAGCTGGCTGTCGCGTTTCACCCACAAAACACACAGTTACTACACTTTACAGTTTATTTTGTGAAGCACTTTGAGACGTCTTGAAGACGCGATAAGGCGCTACAGCAAATCCAAGGATTATTATCGTAACCAGCCAGTCAACTTTAAAGTGACTGCAAACACCCATTCAGTCATTTCTTTTTTAACTTTGAAATCATTAATAGCTCGACTAAGCAGCACAATGTTTTTTATTAATCTACAAAATACAATCACTATACTTTACAGCTGAATATGAGTTTCGAGACGACCTCCCAATGTGAAATGCACCAGATCAAAAATAATTATTTATTATTCACTGAATAATAAGCTATTTAATATGCATCCCATTGCGTTGGTAATAGAGATCAGATTCTGCGCTGATTTCTATATGCAGTCCTTTGCTGGGAGGTGGGTACGTGTGGATATTTGCTGAGGATACAATTGGACTTGACTGCTTGACTGCATTGGACCACTCAGTTGAATAACCTGCTAACACTCATTGTTAAGGCTGACATGTGAAGAGTGGCCCCTTTAATGCCAAACAGATGGGCACCCACATTCATAGTGGAAGGAAAACAGGAGTCAAATATCTTTCAGTTAAAATGCATGGATCTATTTACACGCGCAAACTTGTCAGACAAGCAGCAAACTCCTATAATTCACAAGATTGAGAAAGAGCTTAAAAACAGGAGAGCTAGAAGCTTGGATTTACATTTTTAAGAACTTGCGGTTACAATTACATAGAGTTGAGGCATTCAACCCAACTAGCCCATGTTTACACTCCACACAAACCTCCTCCCCTCTACCACCCCCTTCCTCTCATGGATACCCCTCTATTCCCTGCTCCCTCATGTATACTTCAAGCTTTCCCTTAAATACGTTGATACTATCCTAAAAATGATATTCTGAACTTACGAGGTCATGTTCCCATTCACATAATTCCAGTTAATCAATCGAGCCCAGCATCCGCCTCCAACTTCATCATTGACAGAGCTGTAGTCTTCAGATGACCACAGCTTCTTCCCAGTCAACCGAGCGAGACTGGTTGAGTGCGTTCCAGGGTAATGGGCTCTAAGGAGTAAGGTGGAATATTTCACAATAAAACCCAGAAAATCCAACCCATCAGCTAATATACCTAACTGTATGCGTATAAAAAGGCAAACCGTCCTTTGTTTAAAAAAAATAAAATAAGTATGGATCGTTACAAATTGAGGAAAAAAATCCTCACTTCATGAAAACACTCATCCATATCAAGTAGTGAAGAAAACGTATGAAATCTGTTCAATACAGGTCTCAAATTCAAAGACAGAGGAATATGGGGGTGGCGGGGTTTGATTATTTCTTGCTTAAAATGACTCCTTTTTAGATTGGGCAACGTTAGGCAAAGTTTCCTTACTCCGAACGCATCTGTAATAAGGAACCTGGTCGTTATTTGATTAACGGATCGCTTTTCCAGGGATAATAATCCCTTCAAAGAAAAAAAGTAATAATAATAATAATAATTTGGTCATTCAATCCACGACTGTTTGTGGGACACTGCTGTTTATAGTATATTCTGTGAAGCACTTGGAGACGTTTCGAAGAATGTAATCATTCAAATGCAAGGATTATTATTATTTTACCTGCTGAAAAGAGTTAGATACTGTTGTGTTAAACTATCCAATTTATACTATTCTAACCAATATAAATATTATCTAGGAAAGGACATAAATGCCTACCCAATAATGTCGACAGCAGCAAAGAGCTCAGTATCATGAAGCATACACCAGGATATTGGTTCCCACAAATTATCACTTGCTATGATTTTCACCTGCTCTAGACCCATTTTGTCCATGGTGTATCTGAGTAGCTTGGCAGAGAAAGAGAAGTCACATAGGTAATTTAGTACGTTGGATATCTGCAAGTTCTGAAGCTAAAATCAAATGTGTGAGGAGTACAAGTTGAGACGTATTAGCAGATCTTGCACAAATACACGCTCCATATGCCCCAATGAATCCTCTTTTTGATTTTAAAACAATGCTGAACCAGCAAATTTCGGGTCAAATGTCAAAAACAAGCAAAGACAAGCGTTTCAAACTTTAAAATTGAGTTTCTACTGCAAGTGAAACTTTAGACGATCCCGTTGGCTTTCTCCCCCCCCTGAAGTTAGAAATATCAATGATGGTCAGATATGACAAGCAGATCAGTGAGTTTTCAGGTTAGAGTCTGCTTCCCCTGTGCATTTCCACGTCAGAAACCAAATAATTTGAGGATCAAGTCGAGAACCTTGAAAAATAGTAGTTTCCTCTTAAGTGAAACAGTACTCAGCAAACAAAATTATACAGCAGCACAAAAGGCTCCTTTTGTTTATATTCATTCGTACCAAACCTCAAACAATTCTCACGCCACATTTTTAAGTAATGCTACTGTAGACCAAGGGGTTGTTGCAGATGGAATTGGTCAGGTTGGGTTAAAATGCAAGAAAACAGAGAACATAAGAAATTCACTGGTAGTAATCTGCTGTTTGTCTACAAACAGACATCAGAAGCATTAAAAGAACGAAAAAAGAACTCATCAAACCTGTTCCTTCACTAAATATGCACTACAGTAAAGCAACAGGTAGAATTAAATGGAAATGACTTACAGTTTATAGTCTCAAGTGATGTGTGACACATATACACACACATTATTTGAATTCGGCTACCAGAAAAGTATATCTGCAATTACTGAAGTACCAGCTGCCTGATTTTGTAGAACTTGAAGAAAGATCATTCACTATCATTCTGTATGACCAGACCAGATCACTTACATCAGCAATCAAATCAAAGCTAGTTTGAGTATCTAAAGAGGGACTGCAATCCAAAAGAGTAGTTCAATCTTAGACCTGAGCCCATTTTCAGTGTTTCAAAATTCACTGTCTGCCTTTTACCTTCCTACCAAATTAAATATAGAAGGGATTTAAACTTAAATTGTGCACTTCAGTACTATTATATCAAATCATAACTTTAGATATTGCTTCAAACAAACGTGTGGGAACAACAAAATTACATTTGTAAAGCGCCTTTCATGTCGGGAGGACGTCCCGATGGGAACGGGAAACGGTTATGTGTAGAACGATCTATTACAATTTGTTATTTAGTTCCCGATTTCAAGAAACTGAATTTATAAAAATGTTCTATTCGGGACAGGGGTCAAGGCCTGAAAGTGCGCAGAAAGATACTGAAAGAAAGCAATAGAAAAGGGAGAAAAAAAGACTTAAACATTTTCCAGCTGCCCCACTCAATGCCATTCTGATGTAATATAAAAAATGAGATTATTCCAATTATCAGCAAAAAACTCATTTTTAGACAATAAAGTAAAATCATAACAGTCCTCAGTGAGATTTAAAGCTGTGTTTAAATAGCACGTCCTGATAATATTTGGAGTGTAGGCGATATTTGACTTCCATGAGGTGAAGGGATTGAATTAATAGTCAGCGGAGTCTCAGATACTACCTTCCAGCCTGTAAGGCCAAGTACAGAAGAGAGAAGGCCTTGGGTTTCCCTCCTGCTTGGCCCTCATTCCCTCCGTTCCAACACTCTCCCTCAATCCCTCCGCCTTGCCGCATCCTTCCCCATCTTCAGGTTGCACCTGAAGATCTTCCGTTTCAACTGTGCTTATGGTCACCTCCCCCCGGCTCGGGATCAGGCTCCGCTACTGTCAAGCACTCTGGGACGCTACCTGTGTGATGGGAGCTATATAAGTGCAAATTGTTGCTGTTGTTGGGTTTATGGACATTTCTACTGCTAAACATAAAAAACCTTCAGGATCCTTCCCTTAACTGTGCTCATAACTTTTACTTGATCTACTGCTGTGACTGTTGCAACGAAAGGTGAATTAGTGCAGCAAATTGTCATCACTCTTCATTCAAATGTAGGCTTAACCCACTTGACTATTTATGGGTGGTTATTAACAGAAGCAAAAGTTTTTTTGTCGAAAGAAAACAGATTTAATTAGGGGTTCCTCAAAATTTTCTTCAATATCTTATAACTCTTCAGGTGGAACCAAGGAAAGATTGGTTCTATTGAGAGGTGAGAGCATTTCACACTACAGCACATTTGATCCCAAAAGACTTACCCTATAATTTCAACTGCATCATTTAGGTATGGGTCAACTAACAAATCCCATGCGATGCCCCAATTTCCATCAGCAGCAATGATACCAATATTCGATAACCCAACTTTATCCAGAGTTTGTCTCAGCACCTTTGCAACAGATTAATGACAACAAAGTCAAAAAATAACTGATTTAAAGAGACAAAAAACATTATGAACTAGAAATCCCTCATATACCTTAACCTTTCTCTACCATAAGATGGTCAAGTTTACTGACTGAAGCAAGTTGAAACTTTCACAGAATCAATTGACGGCTTACTATTCCTTCGATTCATATTATGCAAGGATTAGTTTTAGTAGTGGTATTTTCAGAAGTATGAAGAACGGGTTCTCCAGCTCTTGCCTGAGCAATGCAGCGAAATGTGAATCCAGAAGATTATATAACAATTTAAAAAAAATCTTTTCTGCTTAAAAACAGATGGAAGAAAATCTCAAGCTTGAAACACTCAGAGCAGAAGCCCGAGTTGCGAAACACGAGGTTTACAAAAAAAATATTTTGTGAGCATGAAATTGGTGAACGGAGGAACATTGAGATTTGTAGCACCAAGCAGTTATTTTGCCATGCAATTTAAAAAGTTGCTTACTACAGTATTTACTGGTGCTTTACTGTGGGCCAATTCCAAGCGAAACAATATGATAGCAAAGGCATATAAAATGCTCATTGCTCTATCAGGGGAAGCAGTCACCAAATGATGGAGATCAAGGCTGTTATAACACAATTTGAATCAGATAAGATAATCCCATTAGATCAAAACTCTTTGAAATGCACTATTTTTAAGAACGAATTCGCCCTGCAGTCCAGCTAATGAGTACAACATACTGAAGAGCTATGCCATAAGTTTGCAACACAATACATTGACATCATAAGTTAAATCGAAAGCTAAATCAATCTCAGAACAAATCTGCAATTATAATTCCAAATGCAAGAACAGACACTACAATGTAGTTTCATATATAAACGTTGATACATTACCCCCTTTGTTTTTACTGCAGTTTACTACAGGTACAGCCAAACCTGAGATTCAGATCTGTTCTAAATTCAACAGGTCAGTTCAGACACAAAGCAGCTTGCCTAAAATGCTTTAGATTAAACCCTACTGAGTGCTCTGTGAATTACGGTTAATGAAAAACAGTTGTAAAATCTATTCCTTGAAAGAACAATTGTCCCATCGTGTTACTTCCCCATCCAAATACTAATAAAATGCAAAAGATACCGGAATATTTGAGTTACTTGAAAACCCTGAAGACCTTTCAAAAGAGAGAGATATTTAGAGTTCTCTATATTTATCTTATTCACATGTTTCTCTGCACCGTTCTCCCTACATACTGTACTCTGTTAAAAATAATTATCCTGAAATCTTAAGCAGGAAACGTCAACCTTTTATTAATTCAATATCTTGTCTTTCCAAACACAAATGGCCAATATCGTGGAAAAAAATCTTCTTGACGTCACTGAAATATGAAAATCACTGACCAATTTCAGTATTATATGAGGCTAAGAGTATTCTTAATACCATTTGTACAGAATATGTAAAAACACACATACCCATCCACAAACAAACACTCTCTCAGATAAAATATATAAATATCAAAAGTGGAATAATAGGAAACGTAGCATGTCCATTATAAATAGATATTGGAAGAAGGCAGGAATAGTTTGATTTACAAAATACCACACAATAGGCTAATCTTCTGACCACACTGAACACCAAAACATCCTGTCTGCGCTCAACATCAGTTATATAAAATTAGAAACGCCTTCCTAAATCAGAAGGTCTATCTGAAACAAATGCACCAAGCGATACAAGAACCAATAAGGGGGTATTTTGAGGGAGACAAAACTAAGTAAAAGTCACATTTGTCATTTGGCCGACTGGTTCAATTGGAATTTTTTTTAGAAAAATGCAACATGGAAAATAATTCAAGCCAGTTTTTCAAATGAAAACTTAGTATGGCTTATTCAGCTCCTGAGTACTACAGTAGCATTTTTAAAAAGAAAATCATTACATAATATTCACATGAAAGTATCTCATCTGTCAGAGGAACCTTATAAAGAAGTCACCTTATTGACATTCACGAGACAGATTTTAACATTTGGTCTAGAATATATAATTATCTTTAAAAGAGTACAATTAACGACAGACTTGAAACATTTTTTAATAACCACATACCTTGATGTATTTAATGTCGAAATGTCTCTCATTCCAGATCTACAACAGAGACGTAAACGTAAATAATATATGCATAAGGTACGAAAAGTGAAACCAACCAAGATGAACAAGCAAACTGATAAAATATCCATGAGATCCAGCCTTAATAGCTAAGAAAAACACTTCGTAGAATCATAGAAGAGAATCCTACAGCACAGAAAGAGGCCATTCAGCCCATCGTGCCTGTGCTGGCTCTTTGAAAGAGCTATTCAACTTGTCCCACTCACCCGCTCTTACCCCACAGCCTTGCAAAAAAAAATAATTTCAAGTAAATATCCAGACGTGCCACAATTGGCCTAATATTTACCTGTTGCAGGTAACTGGAGATATTTATTTGTATTTTACAGATCGAGAGTTAAAATGTGCAACAAAAAAAAAATCTACTTTTCACCGCAAAGTTGAAGTGGAAGCTGGAGTTGGGATAGACAGGCTCGAGGAACATGGAGCTAAGCTCCAATAATTAACAATGAATCCCATTTACAGAGTACTTCCTTGGAGACCCATGTAACTGCCAGTACAACTATTCCAGTCCGCTGACTGCCTTAAGGCAAGAGGATGCTGTTAGGGGTGTATTTTCTTATTACCATCAAAGATGTCCCTGTTAACCTCTGCTAATGCTTAAACATGGGGAACACAAAGCAGTGGGGAGGGGGGAATAGATGCTAAAACAAAAGGTCCTGTAAATCACAGTAGTAAGAAACCCCAGGTGTATTGTTTTGAATTACAACAACACTAGATTATTGCACAGTCCAGTGGGTAAAGTAATTCGGCCTTTTTTTTAAAGCAATAACAACAAAATACCTCTTAAGTGTTTCATTTCCCCCTCCCCTTGGGCACACAAGGGACCTGCAGATCAGATCGTCTCTACATTAGTTCTACATTTCCCAGTTGTCTTACAGTCAGCAAATAGAGGGGAGAAGAACAGAACAGGTAATATTGCATGGTTAAAAAAAATACAGTTCGCTGACTGCGCTCTGAAGCATTTGGGTAATTATGAAGAGCATAAGAAACTGCTTCCACTCGATAACTGAATCTTTACCAATCTCAAGTTTCAGATTCAGTTGCACAGACCCACAGTTAAATCTCGATTGCATTTCTGCTCCCAAGGCTATAAACTACATTTGTGGGAAGTCATGCTTTTAAATGTCATAGAATTCCAAAGCAAACATCTTGCCTCAGCATAACTTTGACTACTTGTGGGGGTAACAAATGACAGGGGTACAATACATTGTGGTATTATTCCCTCAATGCTTCAACACTCATTTCAAGTGGAAATCAGAAGAGTTTTTTTTTAGATAAACAAATACAGAAAGGCATCAACATTGTGCATTTACCTACCACATTTTGTAGGCAATAAAACAAAAGTCACTTCCAAACAAAAATACTTTTAGATTAATATATTTTAAATTACAATATATAAATTCAAACATATATTTATTTAAAACATTCACTTTGCAGAACATGAAGCTCTTTGAGATGTCTCAACGACTTGATAAGGCGCTATAATATAAGGATTATTATTATAATTATTAATAAACACTACATTTAAATTGAATGCTAGATTGCTGTAAATAGCTATATAGACCAAATACTACCCTGGACCTCTGACTTAAGATTTCATCGTAGTTTAGTAAATCACGAAATTGTGTTTCAATGTGACAACCAAACTACCAACAACACAATCCAAATTCCCCTGAAATACTCTTGCTATATAGGCTAAAAACCATGATCATAATAATAATCCTTGCATTTGATACAGCGTCTTATCACATCTTCGAGACGTCTCAAAGTGCTTCACAAAATATGCCGTAAAGCGAACTGACTGTATATTTTGTGGGTGAAACGTGGCAGCCGATTGCACACAGCAGTGTCCCCCACAAACAGTCGTGGATTGGAGCGACCAAACTATTTGTATTTGTTTTGAATTAACTATCATATCTTTATCAGAAGTTTCTACTGACCCCAACGTAATCGATATCCAGATTATGATGCCGTTTGGCACCTAGGATCCAGGAGACAACATAATAAGCAGTTACATCTGGAAAATCGTAGGGCCAATTCTTCCCCCGACCAACCCAGCCAGGAAAGGCCCAGGGCAGCCCTGAAGGAGAAACCAGAATAGACATTAAATACCCAGCCTGGAAATAGGTTGCCATTCAGCAAGATTTCAGGCAGAGACTCTCGCTGAGCAGTCCCACAGAGCAGACGTATTCTCTGAGACCACCAGTTCAGTGTGGGACCCTGACACAGAAGGACTCCCAAGGAGGAAGAAAAGCAAATAAAATCCATTGCAACAATTTGCATTTTTTTGGAATGGGAAGGGAAGAGGGGGAATACGCTTTATATTAAATGCAGCACCTATAGCTAGCTGTTTCACGCCACCACATTAATATTACTTTCTTGCCTACAAGAACAGTCACCGCACTTTTTCTGCCGTCATTTCCTGAGAAGCGCTTCCGAGATATAAATACGCTAATGCATTAACAAACAAATGCGCTTTTTTCTTTTAGCATTTAGCAACTAACCCATTGTATTTACCGACTATCAACCAAGTTAACACATTATTTCCTGGTCTTAGTTCACAACTACTAAATTCTCCATTAACCCCTCGAATCCCTTTTTACTGTGGACTTTTTTTTAATGCTTTGCTGTCCATCTGAAAGACCGCTTTGGCGATGCCCAATCCACAGTCCTTTCAAAGATAATCTCAACCAGTCGACATTTGGAGCCGACTGTGCAGAAGGACAACAATATTAAATAGGTCCATTCAAATCAGAAAATACTGTGTATGTGAATTGGTCCATAAATATAATAATAATCCTTGCATTTGATATAGAGCCTTATCACGTCCTCAAGATGCCTCAAAGCGCTTCACAGAATATACTGTAAAGGGAATTGACTGTATAGTTTGTGTGTGAAGTATTCCAGGCTATGAATTTTTAAACTCTGCAAAACAAATGAACAGAAAAATGCAATTATAACAGATTTTGTATTCACATACATTAACACTGACTAGACATTGTTCAATGAATAGGCATAGAGCTCTCTTAATTAAAGTTTAGCTGAAGATTTATCTGCAACAAGTAATCTGACAGGAAGAGACAGATATAGTACTAATCAGAAGCCACATACTGGCAGTCGGAGAACACAATAGCACCATCCTTGAATAGTTTTAGTATAAATGAAAACAAAGCAGTATTTTTTGCTTCATTGCTTTCTGATAAGACAGAAAGAATAAGTTTAGATTGCCAATGCAAGGTGATTATTAGAACAACAAAATTTAAATTGCAGAGCCTTGAGTTGTGTCCTTGTCCCAGATGATAAATGGTTTGAACCGCATTCACCCTTCAGATCACACAAGGTTACTACATAGAAGTTATTTTGTTGTTATGATATTGTCACAGATTCACAAGCATTTCCAATTGATTTATTTCAACGTGATAGGTCACCGTGTTAAATGCAAGCATCATTGCAGTGTCAGTGTTGTTCTGCTGGTGTGAAAGAAATACAGATTCTTAAATTATACATAAAATTCCAGAGGCACGAAGTGACCACTCCAACCAATAATACTAATAAAAAACAATAATCATCCTCGCATTTGATATGAAGCGCTTCACAGGATATACAGTAAAGTGCAGTGACTGTTCACTTTGTAGGCGATCACAGCACGGCAGCCAATATAATTGTAATAAATAATTCACCTATTAATTTAATATTGGGATTTCTCTTCTTAGCTTCTTTCATCAGCCACCACTCGTATCCTCGGTAGTAGTTTTCATCATCCTCATAGTGCATGTGTGAAGGTTCCGTCCCATCTAGAAATGGAAGACGGTATTAAAAAAGCCGCAGGAATTCTGCAATTCAGCAGTGTGCTACAATGTGCGAGCGAGTAGTAAACTTATGGAACAGGCTCCCTAGAGAGACGGTGGAAGCAGAAAATATTGTTTGCTTCAAGAACAAATTAGGTCAATTTCTGCTAGAAAATAATATCTCGGCATACAGGGGATAGTTTGGGTCACGGCATGTCAGGATGGTGGAAGACGAACTAGAATGAGACCTTTGTCGTCGTTTGCCTCGCAAATTCAAGTGTTCTTATGAGATTGAACAGTTATTACAGAAACGACACAAACGGGGGACATCAAACATTCCTGCAACTCAAAAACTACACCATTGATTCGGATATGCGAACAACTTCACTAAAACATTCAGAATCGCTCTATTATGTGATTCCATCCATGAATTAACAGAATAACTACCTTGACATTAGAATCAGCCTGTTTAAATAAAAAGTTTAAAGTACACACTAAAATATCTTACGCAGCGGACTAATATAATATACTCCAGCTTCTTGGGGTGTGAGGGGTGGTGAAATCAGACAGGTGAAATACATTTAAAAGAAACTTAACGCATTACAACAATAACAGCAACTTGCATTTATATAGCGCCCTTCATGCCGGCCGACATCTCGGGGCGCTTGACGGGACATGAGGGACAAGAGAGAAGAGGGGTAGAGGAGAGGGTATTAGAGGTATGGAAACTCATGTGGAGTACAAACACTGGCACGGACTAGTTGGGCTGACTGGCCTGTTCCTGTGGTGTGACATTCTATGCAACTCTACGTAATTTAGGTCAGGAACATTCTTCCAAACAGAGGGCTGTGAAGATGTGGAATTCCCTGCCGCAGAACGCTGTAGATTTGCAATCAATGGGATTGTTTTAAAAGAGATAACCACAACAACAAAATTCATGTCAGGAGGACATCCCAAGGCGCTGGACAGTCAGGGATCCTGTCAGATAGACACAATCTTGGATAGTAAAGGTATTAAGCAGTATGATGAAAGTGCGGGGCATGGAGTTAAAAGATTACCCAAATCTAATAAAGTAATGAAACAGGTTTCATGGGCTCAAATGGCCTCTTCCTTTTTCTATTTTGCTATGTTCCTTATTTGTCTGAACAGGAATTGAAAGAGGCAGCGATTTTGGGTCCTGATCACATTATATAAAAAACCCACAAATCATAAAGCTTAACTTAATTCATTAAAATGTCAGGAACTGTATAGAAATTTGACCCTTGATTATTAATTCACTCTTAAGTGGCTTTCACTTCTCTGTACGTTAATGTTAATGTCAACAATCCAACCAATTAATCAGACTCACTTTTTTAAACCTACATTCTTTGCCAAAACGGATTTGAACACCAGCCTTTTTAAAACGCATCAGTGGATCTAAGAAGCCGTCAGTTTTTCCAACAGAAATTTCAAATAGAAAGCTTTGTCCCCCCACCCCAAGACATCGGTTCTTACCTGTTGTTTGAGCATCACCCCCAATCTCCACTTTCAAGATGTGTAAAGAGGCGCTAAAGTTTGGCTGAAACAGAAAGATAACAACTTGCCTCTAACACTCGACAGTGACTGAGTCTGACCCCGAGCCGCGGGTGGGGGTGTGGGTGGTGCGTGTGACCGTAAGCACGATCCAAACGTAAGGTCTTTAGGCGGGATCTGAAAGTGGGGAGGGAGGGAGAGGGGCAAGGCGGCGGGATTGAGGGAGAGAGCTGCTGAGCTTCGGGGCGTCGTGGCTGAAGACACGGCAGTTACAATTTACTGAAATGTTTGGACTATAAGGTGTCGGAATTGTTGGAAAAACCAAAGAAAACACAACAAACTGAACAAGAGACAACTTGAGAGTGCAGCGGAGCAAGGATAGCTACGGAATTACTTGACACGCAACACAGGAGGACCAACAGCGATTGACAATCGTGCCTCACTGCGCTGGGCCTGCGAGGCGTTCATTACAGCCGAGCACATCATGATCTGATCAGCCAACACCGCGGGACAGAGAAAGGCAAAACCGCCTTTTGTGAAATTCAACTGCAATAATCAAATTGTAAAATTAAATGACTCGAGTTCTGCTGTAATGCTGGTCCGGGATATTTATTTCAGATTTGAGCTGATATTATATTCGTCCCAAAAATATACGGTCAATTCACTTTACAGTATATCCGGTGAAGCGCTTTGAGACGTCTCGAAGACGTGAAAAGCGTTGCATCAAATGCCAGGATTATTATTATTATTATTATTAGCAAAATAAAGCCATTCCTGTGTGTCTGTCGGTGCTCAAATGTAAATAAAGCAATGCTTGTAGGCGCGGAAACACTTTTCAATTCCACGGTACCTGCGAAGCTTCTAAATGTTTTGCAGTGGACCTTTCACACCGGTAACAGCCCCCGACACCGACACCCAAAGGTCAGCGCAGGCGTCAGCGTAACACCCACAACACCAACGCCGCCGCTCTCACCTTAAACAGATAGTCCAGGATCTGACTGCGAAACGGCTCTGCGTAGTTCACGAGAAGTCGGGACGTCGCCTGCGGAACAATAACCTTTACTGAAGGTCAAAGGGGACACGAGAAGAGGACTGTGTCCCTATCGCTGCACCGTCGTCCCGACAGGAACCAGGGAATAAACACCCGGGTTCCCTCCTGACAGTGATAAAACACCCAGGTTCACTGCTGACAGTGACAAGGTAATAAACACCCGCGTTAATTGCTGACAGTAATAAACACCCGGGTCCACCGCTTACTGTAATAGACATCTGGATCCACTGCTGTCAATAATAAACACCCGGGTCCACTGCTGACAACAATAAACACCTGTGTCCGCCACTGACAGTAATAAACACCCGGGCCCGCTGCTGACAGTAATAAACACCCGGGTCCACTGCTGACAGTAATAAACACCCGGGTTCATTGCTGACAGCAATAAACACCCGGGTCCACTGCTGACAGTAATAAACACCCGGGTCCGCTGCTGACAGCAATAAACACCCGGGTTCATTGCTGACAGTAATAAACACCTGGGTCCACTGCTGACAGTAATAAACACCCGGGTCTGCTGCTGACAGTAATAAACACCCGGGTTCATTGCTGACAGTAATAAACACCCGGGTCCGCTGCTGACAGCAATAAACACCCGGGCCCGCTGCTGACAGTAATAAACACCCGGGTCCGCTGCAGACAGTAATAAACACCCGGGCCCGCTGCTGACAGTAATAAACACCCGGGTCCGCTGCTGACAGTAATAAACACCCGGGTTCATTGCTGACAGTAATAAACACCCGGGTGCATTGCTCACCCCGCCGCCGCTCAGGCCGCCGATGCCGTCAAACTGCGAGCCGAGGCCGCGCCTGTCGTGCAGGGGGTAGGTGGCGGCCCGCGGGCCGGGCAGGAGGCCCAGGAGGCAGAGCAGCGAACAGGCCCGACCCGCCATCGGCACCGGCGGTCACCTGACCCCCAGCGCTGCGCAGGCGCCGTGCACCGCCCCCGGGCCCCTCCCCCACACACCAGGCCGCGCCCCCGGACACGCCCACCACTCACCAAGCCACGCCTACCCGCCCCCACCCCTCCAAGCCACGCCTACTACTCATCACACACCAGGCCGCGCCCACCCCCGCCAGGCCACGCCCGCCCCCCACCAGGCCACGCCCCCTCCAGGCCACGCCCACCCCAGCCCCACCATCACCATCAACACCAACACCAACAACCAGTTCCATTTGCCACAGGGCCTTCCCGGTCAGGAGGACGGCCATCCCCCGGGGCAATGGGCAGTCAGGGTCCTCAACTGCGCTGGGGGAGGGCGGGAGGGCGGGGTACAGGCGGGAGGGCGGGCGGGCGGGCGGGAGGGCGGGGTACAGGCGGGAGGGTGACCGGACCTGCACCAGACACCAGCCGACACTCCCAGAGTCACACCAGGAGATACCCTCGGATCCCACCGACGGACACCAGCGGCGGCTCCCGCACACCGCACGGATACCAGCGACCGCTGGGCCGGGACGGCACCCGCAGCCCAACACAAAGACGTCCGACACCTGTCGGTCGCTCCGGGCAGAGCCGTACTCTCGGGCAAAACCAGAGCACTCCGCAGGTCAGAGGCAGCATCTACGGAGGAAGGAAACTGAGTCAACGTTTCGAATCCACGACCCCTTCATCAGAACTGGGGCACGTTGGGAGGGAAGAGGCTGTTAAGGGCTGACAGAGAGGGGGGGGGGACAGGGAAGGCAAAGGAGAAAATGGGGTAGAGGGCTGCGTTTCCACTATAAAGCTTCATCGTCAGTCAGGTGTCAGCCGGGCTCAGTTGGTTGCACTCTCACCTCAGCCTCAGAAGGTTATGAGTTCAAGCCCCACGTCGGCCTTTGAGCTCACAGACGAGGCTGACGTTGTCGTGTGGTGCCGGGGGAACGCTGCACTGTCAGATTAGACAGTAAACCAAGGCTTGTCCAGGTGGGGGTTAAAGATGCTTTGGCACAATTTGAAAGGTGAAAGGGTTTTGTCCTGGATACCAATCGCTCAAATAAAATTGGTCATTCAGTTCACGGCTGTTTGTGGGACGTTGCTGTACACAGATTAACTGCGGCATTTCCCTGCCTACTAATAAATGGTCACTATACTTTACAGTAATTCCTGTGCAGCACTTTGAGACTTCTTGACGACATGATACGGCACTATATCAAATCCCTACGTAGTTTCTTTAGAACCTTTAATGTGCACTGCTCCTCTGATCCTATTGTACATTGTGAATCTGAAGGTCTCCGACTGCTTAAATCAACTCTGCCTCACTGCAACATTGATGTTGTCTGGGCTCCCCCAGGACCCAGAAAGTGCCTTCAGACAATATTAAACAGCATCCTTAATAGGGAATAATGTAAATCCCCAAAGGTTAAAGTCATTAAACCAACTCCGGCAGCAGGTTAGCATTTAAAACTGAACCAATGAGGATCCTGAGAGTTAAGCGTTCAACTACTTACGTCTCCTAATCCAGTAATGGGTCAGATGCAACTCTGATTAAATTGCGCTTATAATCCATCAGATGTGGCCCACAACTCAGCAGTTTCTCAATTAAAATAAATACATTTTGGATCGATGCTTGAGGGGAATGTTCTCACTGGATAGATGGTGTCTGGATCTGGAAGGATGTTTGACTAGTACAATATTTGTTGTGCATAATCATCTGAGAGAAGGTAGAAAACATATAAAATCCTATCATCGATTGTACACATGAAGAATATAGGTCCAATTTGTCATTATGTCTTTTCGCTGGTACTCAATCCCAATTATTGGTAGCCCCAAAGCTTTCTGTTTGTTCAGCACATTTCTCACATGGTAACTCATCATTGGTAGTGGTGTGCAGTTGATAATAATTTGATATAGTGTCTATAACATCTCAAAGCACCGCCCAGGAAATGCTATTAAGGATAGCGGCTGTATGTTTGTAGGGAAGCAAACACAGCAGCCACTTTGGGTATATCAAGTCCCCATAAACAGTCATGATCTGGAGTACTGCATTTCAGTTTGAGCATCTCACTTCAGGAAGGACGTCAGCCTGGTTCAGTGGAAGCACACTTGCCTCTGAGTCAGAAGGTTGTGGGTTCAAGCCCCGACGTAGCGACTTGGAATTACGTTATCTAAATTGACACTGCAATGGGGACGTGTTGCATTGTTGGAGGCAACATCCTTCAGCTGAGGTCCCCTCTTCCAGTGAAGCACTCTGAGACATCCTCTCGATACGAAAGGTACTATTTCAAATGTAAAGATTATTATTATTGTTATTATTATTATTATGATAAGACATGAGCTTGACTCCTGGAGGAGGAGAAACAGGGTTCTCCCATCTAAGGCATCAATTGATCAGTTATCTCAAAATTGACAACCAAGATATTTCTAGGAAGCATTTCTGGGGAATGAATGGCTCAGAGCGTTTGACGAGCATTTACCATCATGTGCAGTCATTGCTTTTTCATAGGCAAACGTGACAGTCACTGGCTGCAGCTTTGAACAACACATCGGTTGTGATCACCTTAGAAGGGCCATTTCATGAGTTTTTGGAAGCTGTGCATAAAGTTTTTGGAACAATATTGGCATTGAAGTTTTACGAACAAGTTGCAGGATACCTGTTAATTGTATGAAGTGCTAAGCTCGGTTATCTGGATGGATTTTTCTGTGCATTTTATCCGCTCCCCAAAGTTGTTTTAGGGCTCGCTGCTTGACTACAAATATCCCAGGGCTTTTCAAGGTTCAGGACGGGTAGATTGGAGGCACGTTTCTTGATGGAAGATTCAATCTTTTTCTCGAAACAGTGCCTCCCCAAGCGTTCAAGAAGATGGCAACAGCTGAAACCGTGGGGAACCCAAACGGTGTAACTAAAGCATTTAACACAATGAATACCATTATATATGGAGGTGCTTTAGTGCCTTTCTCATTTGGCATGATGATTCTTGTTGCAATCCTCAAGCACCTCATGCTTCAGAAGTTTGATTCTCATCGCAGTTCGCTGATCACTGTTAACGTGCAGTTGAATTCTCAACGACTGAGGATGAAGGTGTAGAGTCCTGTAGCTCAGTGGTTAGAGCACTCGCTTTGCAAGTGAGAGACCTGAGTTCAATACCAGGCAGAGGGCGAAACCTTGGGCAAGTTTCCTTACTCCACACAGAGCCTAATAATAATCCCTCCAAAACCAAAAACAATAATAAATTGGTCATTTTCAATCCAAGATTGTTTGTGGGACATTGCTGTGCGCAATTGGCTGCCGCGTTCGCCCACAAATATACAGTCAATTCACTTTACAGTGTGTTCTGTGAAGCGCTTTGGGACGTCCTCCCGACGTGAAAAGCGCTATATCAAATGCAAGGATTATTTATTATTATTATTATTATTAAGATCTTCTGAATCTGGCCATTAAAAAAAACTCAGCGTTGCAAGAAAAGGTGGGTGGTAGAAAAATAAACCTGTATGAAGATAGGTCAGAGATGGGGATGGGGGTGGGGGAGAGGGGGTGCTGAATTGCAAATTATCTGCCTGACGGAAACATTAGGATTCCTTATCGTTGACGAGCAGCAATGGGAAGTCCTCCCGACGTGAAAGGCGCTGTACCAATGTAATTTTGTTGTTGTTTTCGACGTACAGACGCAGTAATAGGACACATTGTGGGCCTCCATTGTGAATAACTTCCACCAGAGGGAGATGAACTCTAATCAGAGATAACAGCACCCAATGGAACGAGGCTGTGGCTAAATGGTGCTGCAGTTTGCGAACGCATTTAAAATGACATCGCTCCACTGATTAACAAACCGTGGGGTCTTCCGATTGTTTTCCATCGAAAAGCGTTTCGGATAGATTCAAGTATATTTTTTGCTTTTCTATTTTTGTACGTTAGGGGGAGCAAAGGTTCCTTTTTTTGCAGAAACCATGTAACGTAGTGCGAAATGGGATGCCTGTTAACGTACCACGCACTGTAATTTAGTGTCACGATGATAGAAGACTGACCCCCAGACCCCCTCCCGCCCACCCACCCACCCAGAGATTTTTTAAGACGTCAGTTCATTGAAATTGGCAAGATATTAATCGATTGGTGGATCGGTTTACTGGGGGGGGGGGTGGGGGGGGGGAATAAACCCTTCAAAAATTATTTAAAAAACCTGAGAGTATATTCTGTGAAATGCTTTGAGACGTCTTGAAGATGTGACACTAATAATAATCCTTGGCATTTGATACAGCGCCTTATCAGGGCTTCGACACGTCTCAAAGCGCTTCACAGGATATGCCGTAAAGTGAATTGAATTAAATTGTATATTTCGTGGGTGAAACGCGGCAGCCGATTGCACACGGCAGCGTCCCACAAACAGTCGTGGATTGAGTGACCAAATTTTTTTTTTTTTTTTGAGACGCTAATTTATTTTATTTTTGTCAACGTAAGCCCAAGCGCTTTGGCACAGTGAACATTTGACGCAACGGATCGACATTTAATTGTGAAAGATATGTCCGTCAGTGAAAAAAAAAGGTCAGAAACGTTCTAACTTCTTTGTTCTAAGATTCCTTCAGGATTCATGCTTAGTCGTTCATTCAATGTGAATGCAACTTTATGAACAAAAATAATTGATATCCAATTTTGAAAGTATGAGCATTGCTATCTCAAAGGTATAATAATCTAATGTGCAACGAGAGCTTCAGTTTCCGTCTGTGCAACATGACTTCTCTTATTAATACCGGTGGTTATAACCTTCATTGTAATGTTGATTTTAATAAACACTTAATATCAAAATGTACATTCCAAAAGAGCTTAATAAGCATTAGGAATTCCCTGTTTGATTGCTCTGTTATGTGTTTATTGTTAAAGTTTATCATTTCTTCCGACCATTTTCTAGTAATAAGCCCGCAATATTAATAATTCATTGTGAGAAAATAACATTATACACGATAATGGGTTATGTTGAGCTCCAGGTTCTAGACTCATTCT